GGGGACCAAAGCCCGTGTCTGCTGTTGAGCAATAGCGGTCCCTGCATGCAAAGCATATAAAGATTGTCCTGCAATCGCATGGAGCCTACGGGCACGGCCAAGACTCGGCTGGATTCAGTTGGTGGCTAAAGCCGCGCCGGCGCTCGTTCTCACTGCCACTCGCTGCAGTGTTGCCAGGTCTAGAGGTAAACCTCCAGATCTAGAGGTTTTAGGGGAGCGTTTCGGGGCTCCTGGAGGTTTTTGAAAAAATGCGGATTCTAGAGGGTTTTCTAGAGGTAATATGAAAATGCGAGAAAAGACAACTAGGATCAAGGTCTCTTGAGAACTATTTAGGCACTAAATTTCATGTTATTATTTTTAAGTATTGCACGTTTAAACACACCTATTCACTTCCATCAACACACTTCCATCAACAGATTGATGGAAACGAAAAACCTACTTTTGGCTTGTTCACTAATGAGGCTCTGGCCGCCGGCTGCAGCTAAAAGTTATCGATATACCGTGGGCACCATGGGCACCAAGGCTATTTGAACGTGGGCACCAAGGCTATGTAAACCTGGTGCCCACGGTGGGCACCAAATCCACCAAGTTATGTGGACAAATGCGAAGGCATGCGAAGAATGAGGGAATTATCTTGATTGGGGATACAACCGGGTGTTTCAAAGCCCGCTGCCAGCTGCTGCCAGCGCGCTGACTTCACACTTTGGGTATGTTCCAGTCGCACTTCCTAACACCTCTAAACTCCTCCAAGAGCAATATAGAGGAGGTTGGAGCAGGGCCCTCCTTTGATTTGTAGGGGCTAGAGCTGACACTGGGACAGGGAAGCTATCTTGGAGGAGTTTCGAGGTGTTAGGAAGTGCGACTGGAACAGACCCTTTGGTAGTGTTGGAGAAATGGGCTTGATGATGTCTTTACGCGCTGGCAGCGAATGGCAGCGTGCTTTGAAACAGCGCCACGGTTTGTGATATGGAGGTAGGCATGGAGGTATATATCTTTCTAGTTGAGGTTTATTTGCCATTGGGTCTACAGTGCAGGGATATTTCTATCTCGCACTCCTCTCAGATGCAAAGATAAGGTCTCGTGATCGGATATCTTTTCCTCGCGTGTTCCAGAAAAAAAAAACTCGCTCCTTCGTCGCTCGGTTTTTCAGTAACCCGCTTGGAAAAGATATCCTTATCTTCCACTCGGAGCCATGAAGAATCCTCTATATACTTCATACTCAGCGGCAATGGAACAGAGGTTTCTAGAGGTTTTTACAACATTTTCTGGAGGTATTGGCATCACTCGACCTGGCAACACTGACTCGCTGGGCTGAAGCTGCGCGGTGGCCAAAAGTAACCCGAAACCACAATGACTCTTCTACTCAGGAGTGAAGTTGGCGGAGCGCGTAATGGTTCGGCAGTTAGCTAGAGGGTGTGATAAGGATACCAGCCGGACGGGCACCGATGAAACGGCATCGGACAGATCAAACGAAGTATATACCACTTTCTCTGCGATCAGCCGGTAGCTACTGGCTGCAATAAAGATTTTTGGTCACCGAGAAACGGTTAGCGATCGTTTGTTACCTGTTACTGAGGGTAGGGGAAAAGGTAAAACTTAGGTGAAGGGCTGGTGCTGCCAATTTTTGAGGTGTCAAGATATGGCAGCAATATTTCGGGCAGATGATGCGCTTTTACGACAAACATAGAAATTCGGGACGCCGGTGAAAACAGGGCGCCGGAGGGCATATTAGTCACGTGACATTTGGAACTTTTCCGCCTCCGTGGGCCTTCTGTACCCCAAACATCACGTGTAAATGATAACAATAACACGTCAAATGTATATTTAAACACACAAAGCTTTCGGTATGAAAATACCTTGATCACTGTGTTAACAGAAATGAGGACAGAAATTGTCACCGGCAGCTTGTACAAAAATATAAAATAGCACTCGAAAAATAGATCACAATCACGAGATTATCTATCGAAGTCCTGCCACTAAGCTTACAGCGCATGTTGCTAAAGTTATAAATCCAGTCCTAGTATTGATGGTATCGCGTGCTGATATGTGAGCCGCTTCTAAGATTTTTCGTGTCGTTTTTCGTGCGCCCTTCTCTAATAATCGAGTTGCTCCCCAGTTCGGTAAATGATGAGACTGTTCGGCATGTACGACGATTGCGTTCGATGTTCGATGAAACTTAAGGTCACTTTTATGTTCTTTAAGTCTCGTTTCGACCCCCCTCCCCGTTTCTCCCACGTAGCTTTTGTTACACCCACCACAAGGAATTTCGTATACTACACTTTTCGGAGAATCGGATGTGTCGGACGTCTCTTTCGGTCTTCGTTTAATCATCTCGTGTATCTTCGTTCCCGTGTTCGTTGCTACTCGTACGCCTGTCTTCTCAAGTGATTTAGAAATAACCTCCGCGCTCTTGAAGTTTGGAATCGATATCCATTTTCGCTTTTTCCTTCCTTGTTCTTTTTCCTTTTGTTTTGGGTTCTTCTTTATTCGTTCGGCCTTTTGCTTTTGCCGAATGAGATACCCCTTCGGGTATTTCAGTTTCGTGAAAGCGTTGCAAATATGTTTAATCTCTTCGTCCAGGAACTCCTCATCACAAATTCTCATTGCTCGTAAAAAGAAACCTATAACTATACCACTTTTCACACGTTCACTGTGGCCAGAGTAAAAATGAACATAATCTTCTTTGTTGGTTGGCTTTCTATGTACCTTAAATTTGAAACCTGTCTCTCTTCTGATGATGCACGTGTCTAAGAACGCTAGTTGGTCATTTTCTTCGTGCTCGATCGTGAACTGTATTTTCGCATTGACGTCGTTCAGTTGCGCTAGTTTTTGTTCCAGATTCGTGTTTTCTGGAACGATCACTAGGACATCGTCCACATATCTCATCCATATGGAGCTGGACCCCATGATTTCGAAGAAATTTGATGCTTCCAGAGTTTCCATATATAAACAAGCGGCTACTGGGCTGAGAGGAGATCCCATAGCCAGTCCATTCTTTTGTAAGTATTCCTTTCCGTTGAATGAAAAACAGCCAAACTTCATGCACAGAGAAACTAATCTGATATAATCCTCCTTTGGAAGTGGGAGAGAATCCTCATCAGTGGTGCTTACCACTTTTTCGATTGCTTCTAGGGCACCTTGAATGGGGACGTTGGTAAAAAGGGATTTCACGTCAAAGCTTGCCATTTTCATGTCCTCTACGTTTTCCATTTCTTTCAGTTTAGACATCATGTCTGATGAGTTCTTGAGGTGCGCATCGCTGATAGATCCGAGGGCCATCGACAATGGTTTTGCCAGTGTCTTAGCCAGATTGTGGGGGGCGCTCCCAATACCGGATGTAATCGGGCGCATGGGTATCCCGTCCTTGTGCACTTTGGGCAGACCTTTCATTTTTGGAACAGCAGGTGCTTCCTCCAGTAAATGATACATTTTCTTACCCTTTTCTACGTTTTCCATTACTGAAAGAAATGGAAAACGTAGAGGACATGAAAATGGCAAGCTTTGACGTGAAATCCCTTTTTACCAACGTCCCCATTCAAGGTGCCCTAGAAGCAATCGAAAAAGTGGTAAGCACCACTGATGAGGATTCTCTCCCACTTCCAAAGGAGGATTATATCAGATTAGTTTCTCTGTGCATGAAGTTTGGCTGTTTTTCATTCAACGGAAAGGAATACTTACAAAAGAATGGACTGGCTATGGGATCTCCTCTCAGCCCAGTAGCCGCTTGTTTATATATGGAAACTCTGGAAGCATCAAATTTCTTCGAAATCATGGGGTCCAGCTCCATATGGATGAGATATGTGGACGATGTCCTAGTGATCGTTCCAGAAAACACGAATCTGGAACAAAAACTAGCGCAACTGAACGACGTCAATGCGAAAATACAGTTCACGATCGAGCACGAAGAAAATGACCAACTAGCGTTCTTAGACACGTGCATCATCAGAAGAGAGACAGGTTTCAAATTTAAGGTACATAGAAAGCCAACCAACAAAGAAGATTATGTTCATTTTTACTCTGGCCACAGTGAACGTGTGAAAAGTGGTATAGTTATAGGTTTCTTTTTACGAGCAATGAGAATTTGTGATGAGGAGTTCCTGGACGAAGAGATTAAACATATTTGCAACGCTTTCACGAAACTGAAATACCCGAAGGGGTATCTCATTCGGCAAAAGCAAAAGGCCGAACGAATAAAGAAGAACCCAAAACAAAAGGAAAAAGAACAAGGAAGGAAAAAGCGAAAATGGATATCGATTCCAAACTTCAAGAGCGCGGAGGTTATTTCTAAATCACTTGAGAAGACAGGCGTACGAGTAGCAACGAACACGGGAACGAAGATACACGAGATGATTAAACGAAGACCGAAAGAGACGTCCGACACATCCGATTCTCCGAAAAGTGTAGTATACGAAATTCCTTGTGGTGGGTGTAACAAAAGCTACGTGGGAGAAACGGGGAGGGGGGTCGAAACGAGACTTAAAGAACATAAAAGTGACCTTAAGTTTCATCGAACATCGAACGCAATCGTCGTACATGCCGAACAGTCTCATCATTTACCGAACTGGGGAGCAACTCGATTATTAGAGAAGGGCGCACGAAAAACGACACGAAAAATCTTAGAAGCGGCTCACATATCAGCACGCGATACCATCAATACTAGGACTGGATTTATAACTTTAGCAACATGCGCTGTAAGCTTAGTGGCAGGACTTCGATAGATAATCTCGTGATTGTGATCTATTTTTCGAGTGCTATTTTATATTTTTGTACAAGCTGCCGGTGACAATTTCTGTCCTCATTTCTGTTAACACAGTGATCAAGGTATTTTCATACCGAAAGCTTTGTGTGTTTAAATATACATTTGACGTGTTATTGTTATCATTTATCCTAACTGTCTTGGATATTCTATATCACGTGTAAATTTAACGAACCTTGATCAAATCGCCCCAGGCGCCCTGTTTTCACCGTCGTCCGAAATTCGCTCGGATCAAAATATTGTTTTGTATTTGGACACGATTCGAAGTTGGAGTTGTTGGCTATTTAAATTCATGCGATTCTTTCCCAAATATGTTCAAAAATTTGAGGAAGAAAATCACTGAGGAGGTGGGGCAGCCCTCTATGAGGCTGCCAGTACAACAATTGTCTCAGGTCTGTAGAAAATTGGTGTAGTACCTATAAGGTGAAGACATGGGTCAATTCTTTCATGGACATTGTCAATCCCATTGTGTCTTGTGCATCATTTTTTGGATCACACTTTGCCAGCACAACAGTCCAGCACATGAGCATAGTGTACCACTGAGGATCCACACTGCTTCACGCAAATTTTCACCACACCATAGGGCTGTTCACGGGCCCTGTGTGCGGTAGGACTGTCCACATAACACAGGCTCCAAGCTCCGCCCACTGCGTCCCTTTGTCACTGTTGATGCTGATTGCCCATCCCCTACCCCCACGCCTACTGCACACACCATACACACCACACTCAGCAGTTTGTAGTGCCCGTGAACAGCCGGAGCCCTCATGATAATCCCGCACCATACTGTGCACCTGTGGTCTGTGGAGTGCCCCAGCTCCAACAAGATCAAGTTTTCATCAAGATTGTCATGCTTGGTTGTTAGGGAGATTCCTCACATTATGGGGCTCCCAACTCATGATAAGAGAGCCCCACCTTTCTTGATATGCAGGGGGTATCCTATGTGCTGTGGCCGTTAGGCACAACGGACTGTTTAGGTGCTCTCTGACTCAAGGACAGTTGCCGAACCAGTGGAAAATGGCAGTCATCACTCCAATTTTCAAGAAAGGGAGCAAGAAAGTTGCTGGAAACTACCGTCCAATAAGTCTTACTTGTCAGCTGTGCAAAGTTCTGGAAAGAATTATTTTGAGACACATCAAAGACCACCTTAACAGGCACAGGCTGATCAGTGAGCACCAACATGGATTTGTAAAGGGTAGATCGTGCCAGACCAACCTACTTGAAGCATTTGAACTCTGGACTCAGTGGATGGATGAAGGCAAAGCTGTGGACATTGCATATCTTGACTACCAAAAGGCCTTTGATAGAGTTCCGCATGCAAGACTCATCCACAAGCTGAGTGCTTATGGAATAAGAGGACAACTGCTCGCTTGGTTAACCGACTTCCTCAGGAACAGAAAACAGCAGGTCACAGTGGGGAGAAGCCAGTCACAGTGTGTAGATGTGGCCAGTGGAGTACCGCAAGGTTCGGTATTGGGACCGACCTTGTTTTTGATCTACATCAATGAGCTTCCAAGTTCCAACCCTGGTGCAGAGTGGCTGTAAACTGTTCGCAGATGACACAAAACTGTTCAAAGACATAGTAACCCAACAGGACTGTGCAACACTGCAAGCAGACCTTGACAGGCTATCTGAATGGTCAGATCAGTGGCTGCTTAAGTTCAACGTTGAAAAGTGCAAGATCATGCATTGTGGATATATGAACCCTGCAGAGGACTATGTCATGAAAGGTAATGATGAAGCCAGGACGATCTGCACCACAACTCACGAACGTGATCTGGGCGTGATTGTAGCCAACAACCTGAAAGCAACATGCCACTGCCAAGCTGCGGCACTGAAAGGAATGACTGCACTAAGGCTTTTAAAAATGGCTTTCAGAAATATTGATGTCAACAACTTCAGGTCCTTGTACACCACTTATGTTCGCCCGCATCTAGATTATTGCCTGTCTGCGGTTGGTCCTCACATGGTTCAAGATATACAAAAGCTTGAAAAAGTTCAGAGACAAGCTACCAAGCTTGTACGAGAAATTAGAGCCTATCCCTATGAAGAACGGCTGACGAGGCTTGATCTGATGAGCATGCGAGATCGACTCAAGCGAGGTGACTTAATTGAGACTTACAAGATTGTAACAGGAAAAGTTGATATAGATGCAGGACGATTCTTTGAATTTCAAGACAATGAAAGAACCAGGGGTCATCGATTTAAGTTGAAGAAAAGGCGGTCAATGCACCACTTCAGAAACATGTCATTTGCTAACAGAGTAGTCACCCCTTGGAATGAGCTGCCAGACTATGTTGTGTCAGCACCAAGTACTAGTGCCTTCAAGAAAAGGCTTGACCGACATTGGGCTACCCTAGTCGACCACCAAAGCTCATCCTCTGATTAGTGCATTCCACGATATGAGCACCAAATAGACAGTGACTACTCCTAGCTCATAACCTGAACCTGAACCTGAACCTGCTGCACTTTTGCAAGGTTTTTCATTTTTTTCAGGTGTGACTGACATCCACTGGGGATGTGATTGCTATTCTAAGGGTGTCCTGGAATTGCTTAGGGGCACTAATCTTATGGTGGGATGACTCCTCCACTGAATGTGTCTATTACAAGTCTATGGTTGGGTCATGGTCACCCAATCTGTCTTGTGATGCTAGGATTGTTTATCTTCTTTTGTCTTATAATCTGCACTAGAGCAGCATTCCAATTGCAACACATTGGGGCACTGGTGTATTTGTGTGCTCTTTGGATCCTGGGTCATGTAGCTACACATGGAAAGCAGCATTTGGAAGAATGTCAGAAATGATTAACAGAGTGTCAATAGCTCTATGGTGATGGTTGATAGGTGGGGTGCTGATTGGTTGTCTTTAGGGGTGCATATTTCAAGACGGAGGTGCACTTGCGAATAAGGTGCACATTGCACAATGCGCATGTACCGCATGCATATAGATGAAATTTAGTCATGAATACGTCCTGTTTGACAGCTCATTTCGGGTGACTCTCCACGGGCCAGCCACCAGGCAGATCTCAGCGCCTTCAGTCTCGACGATGAGGGTAAGGAAACCTGAGACCAGTCGGTTGAACCATTCATCAACATTCCTGAACGGTGCTCATTATCGGTCGGTGGCATGCCAGTGTTAACAATCATATAAGACTGACGATTAAAATTGTTAAATTGCCGACGCTATATGGCACGCGATTGTGGAGGCTCTGGACTCCGGAGGCGCCTTCCAAACGTTCTTATCTTTCATTTCACGTGCGATGTAGAATGCCGGAGTGTCAATCGGGTCTGTGTTTACCTACGGCTCGTTTACGATCTTTATCGTTATCTTCCGGAAATGACGCCAAGGTAGGCGTCCGAACGGAGTCCCAGACTTTCCATTAGAACTAGGGGCATTTAATAGGTATTGGCAACATAATAAAGATTCCAGTCTTTGTGTTAGGATCCCACTCCATTCCGGGGACATCTCAGAGTGTGTGCATAGACATTGTGGTACCTAATTCAAAAGGTCTTGACCACCTTGGATACCGAAACTGGAAGTCATTGTCCGATAAAATCGGAAGCGATGCAACTGGGAATATCGCACGGCTTAAACCGTACCGGGATCTTGTTGTCTCGATTGTAACATCTTGGAGCGGGGGTGGCTTGTGAGCTTATGAGCCAGGTATGGCTTATGAGCCAGGTAGCACAATCTGTAAGGGTTGTTAGAAAGGTCATCTCTAATAATTTCGCAGGCACTCAGCAATCAGGCGAATTCAAAAATAGATCACTAGTTCTCTGCAAAGGTCAGCGGATTTCCCAGTCCCCGGCAGACCGCCGTGTCCCGCTGAGCGCCCCACCCCTGTCTAGCAGGCCGCTCAGAGCACCCCACCCTCTGTCCGGCAGGGTCGGCCGCGGCGGCGGCCGGAGCACCCGGAGCGCGGCCGACGGTACCGGGACGGCTCCGGCGCGGCTCGGCGGCCTCCTCGACGGTTAGCGAGTCGCCGGCGGCTGCTGCACCGCTCCGCCGCGCCACACTGCACGTATGTCGCCCTCACGCAGCACCGGCACTGGCACTGACCAGACACAGCGAGCACGGCTGCGTAGTAAAAGCGTTGTTACTTTCAATTTTGCGCAGATCATTGCTATTCTGCAGCGAGTAGCTGTCATGGAATTGAAACATTTTTCGTAATTTTACTTTTGTCATCGCCTTTATGGGAAATTGATCATACATTTTGCAGGGCCCTATTTCAAATAATTTCGATGGTCTCCGAATCAGAAAATTGACTAAAGATTAAAGACATATGATCAGTGTGAGGGTTGAAAATATTGATCGAAGTTGGATTAATTGCAAAATAGCGGGAAAAAATAGCTATTGGTATGCACGGATTGGGATGAACATTTATCATATGGCGCTGATTCCTGTCGCCGGGCATTTGCGCGGCATTGGGCGGGCCGTGTCCTGTGGGCACGATAAATTTTCGCCTCTGAATGCTCATGACAAGCGGAATTATAAATAGGATGTTAGAGGCCAGGGTCAGGTGCTGCACAGTGCACACTGCACAGTGCATAAGGACATGGGCGCCCTTTGATATTTAAAGGGTCTGATTATGTTTCAGTTTGAAGACGTGCTTCCGTCATTTTCAACTTCACTTCCTTAGTTCGTTTTATTAATAACTGCACGCACTTTGAGTATAATTTATGCGATGGTAACGATATTCCTAAAACAGATCCCTATCAGTATGATTTGTGCAATGCTCATTTATGCATCGATGTCGATGATAAATTGAAATTTTGACGCCAATGACCACTGTAGTCCGGGCGCCCCAAAACCCCAATTCATCATCATCGATAAACTGAAATGTGCCAGCATTATGACACTTTTCCACCTTCCTGTGGACATTGTTATTATTTGCGATGTTTGGTGGTTTATGTTGTCACTTTTTTAACATCAGCTTTTCTTCTGTGATCGTATTGTCATCCATCTGACTTGGTTTTTCAGCGTCTTCTTCTCCAGATCGTCTCCCGAAAACAGTAATTTGTTTTTGCGTCTGCTGTTCAGAATAGAAATAACCACTGACTGTAGCGCTGTTTGATGACTGCTTTCGCTACTAATATGACCTTTACATCAGCACCTAACGGTTTTGACAAAGTTCTTACCGCATGCATCCACACAACTGCTCGTAGCCTTAAGCACTACTTCTAACGTAGTTATAGGTTTCTACAATGACTTGGCATGTTTATTTTTGTTGGTTGCAGTCCTGATATTTGCCTGGCCTAGCCGTGTGTATTCTTGGTTGTTAAATTATTTGACAAATCATGCTTGAAGATGTGCTTAAAGCTGCACACATTTTTCGGTTTAATGACATACAAGTGTGTTTTAATCGAGACTGACCTAACCCGGCCGATACATGCGCTATGCCGCCTGATGACGGTAGTTTTTCGTCAATTCCCGTTCAGTTTCTTTGTTCCATTAGCGAGCTCGGTTCACTGGGGACGCCGGCAAGCAGTACGCCGGCTGAAATCGCGCGGTCCACACAGGTGTTGTCGAATGGTGGCGTCGCCGGTCCGGCCCCCACCCCTCCCGGCCGGCCGCGCGCTGCTCCAAGTGGCGTGCCCCATACACAGCGGCTCCCAGCACCACTCGGCACGTGCCGGCCCGGCCGAACGGTGCTCAGTTGGCGCAGCCCAGTTGAGCAGACATTTGTGGTGTGAGGACAGGGCTGGTGGGCTGCTCCGTTGACCATCGGTGACCATATATTGGTGCTGCATATAGGCGGTGTTCAAGGCCGTATAATTGTGAAGTCGGTGTGGTGTCAGAGCTGTGTACGACGTAGTACTGATGCGTACTGTGTTTGCGCTCACCCCAGTGATGTAACCGACCGACAGCACTTGTGGGACCAGACAGGGTCTAGTGAGAGCCTCCCCATGGAACTGAGGTGACCTGTGCCGGTGTCCCGTCCGTCCTGTGTCCGCGCTGGCCATGCAGTCGGCTCCGGTGCCGCGCCGGCCGCCGCTGACCATGCCGTCTGTGCTGGACGTGCCGCGCGGGCCGCCAGTGACCTGCCACCTGACCCGACCTCAGGCCGATCTGGAGTCGGGCAGTGAGGTGAGCTCCGTGGCCGACCTGGGCGCCGTCTCCAAGGAGCAGCTTCTGCACAGCTACCAGCGCATGCGAGCAAAGTACAACAAGTACCGCGGCCGATACACGGATCTGGCACGCGCCTTTCACAACCTGGAGAATGACAATGAGAAGATGAGGGTGAGTACCCGGGATCAGAGTAGTTCCGATGGGTGAGAACAGAAATCACGGGGACAGAGAGAGAATTTGACTGTTTGGAGTGAGCGAAATGACACAATCAACGAGCGTAAAATTACAGTTCGTCTTGGCTAGGTTTGTATCGGGGAAAATTTCACATAATAATTCGATCTCGTTGATCAAAAGTCGTAGTTAAGGTTGTAGTAGCGGTCTTTCGGTCGCGTAGAGTGTCTTGCATGGGTACAGGGTCGGCTAGCAGTGAATTAGCGAATGCCTGATCAACCGTGCAAGGTGTGCTTTAGATAGGACTAACACCTGCCATAACTCTGATACGTCTGCGCATGTTATCATCAGTAACTGCAGACTAACAAACGTGGTCCTAACATGGAGCTGCACGAGCTTTCCGTCCCGCGGATACAGCTGACTGCCTTACACACAGACGGCCGATGACGAGATCAATTGTTCTTTTCCCAAACGGACATCAGCTGACTGCTGACTCCTGACTGACCGGTGCTTGGCTCACTTATGGACTCAAGATCTACGCTTTTGTTGCCTTTATCGATGTCTCGATTGCCAAGTAAATACGGACACGCGGCTTTTACTGCCTCCTACCCCTACTGACACGGTAACACCATTTGTCTCGCGGTAGCGTGCTCCTCAGACTGACTCAGCAACGTACCCCCATAATTGACATAGTGACACTAATGACGCATCACCCACAGTCACTTATGTTTACTTTTCACCATCCAGTACCCTGACCGTATTAGGAGGCCCCGCTATCGCACGCTGTGTCACGAAGGGCTTCTGATCGGCGAGAAGTGATCCTGCTGTCTCCGCCCCTCTCCTCCCGTCTTTCATTCTTTCTCGCCGCCCGCCCGTCCCTCTCCCTGCGTCTTCCCCTCTCCCAACCCCCACCCACTCCCCTTACTGCCGGCCAGTCGCCCTGCCCCACTCCTCATCCCTCTGCGTCCTCTCCTCTTCCCTCCGTCTCTCATCCTCTCCCACCCTTTTCCCTTCTTCTATCTCCTCCCCTCCCCATCACCCTGCCTGGCTTCTGACCGGTCGGCCGCCCTGCCCCTAATCCCCCTCCGCCGGCCGTGGTCTGACCGGCTCCGGCTCGGGCGGCGGCAGGCCTCGATGGCCGAGGCGGAGGGCCGCGCCGGCCGCCGGCTGGCCGAGCTGCGCGAACAGTGCCAGCTGGAGCAGCAGGCCAAGGCCCACATGGAGGAGGCGCTGCGCACAGACCTCGAGGAGCGAGACGAGCTGGTCAAGCTGCTCACCATGAAGGTAGCCGGCGGTGACCAGGGGCTCTCACTCTCCACACGGGGGGGGGGGGGGATTGTGGAGCATGGCAGGTGCTGCATGGATCGCTCGGGTCGGCAACGGTAGTAGCTAAGCTAACAGTTCACAGGTTACACTAAGGGTGCCTGCTTGCGGCAGTGTGCTTGGTTGTTACATCTTGCTAGCTTCAACTGCTTTGCATGCCGGGGGCTTAGGCTAAGTTTTGTCACTGACCCTGAGTTAAGGGTAGGCTGTGTTACTGGCAGCTTTGGGCACTTTGGTGTGTTGTGTGATAAGATACACATGCACAGCTCGGCAAGGTCACCTCTTTAGAGATGCCATCTTTTTTCGTAATAGCTTAATTGAAACCAGCACTGGTCTGTCCATAGCTTTAGAATGGTTCATTTTGGTCTTTGTGTACGTGTGCACATACGCTCATCATAAAAGAAGGGATATTCACCTCTCACACGCACGTCGCACATGGCTCGTCTATGGCCAATGCACGGGCTCGTATTTGTGTTTATATTTTTGTCGTAGCCTTTGGCGATAGCCTTTAACCTCGTATTGTTAGTGCTGCGGATTTTGTGCTAGTGCTGGGGAAAACAATACATGTCCTAATTCGTAAGGACGAAATGTATGAAGCGTTAAAGTTTTGAAGATTGCAGCTCTGAAAATGGCCTGGCGATGATTCCCGGTGAAAAAAAACTAGCTCCACATGTCTCGATGCATCCCCCTTAGTCGTCTATGATATAATTGATTGACCTCCTCACACCTATATGCTTTGTGAAAAGCTATCTATCCGTTCAATCGTTTTAATAAATAGGATAGGTAGCATGCACGCGTTTTTCTGCAACTACCAAGTTTCTTATCACGCTTAGCCATTTGACTGTTACTTAACGGCCTTCTGTGATTGACCTTCTCACCATTAGAGGTTATTAGATGAATAGATGAGGGATATACAACCGTGCTCACTGAAGCGCCATCGACGCTTGTAATGTCAGTAGTAGTAAGTGAGGACAGGTGTGTCTGTCTCCTGCGCGCCTGTCGCCGATGTTTGTGGTGTTGGTGTTGGTGTTTGGTGAAGTTATGCGTGTGGCTCCCACAGGTGAAGCTCCTGCGAGAGGGCGGAGCCGAGGAGCCGGCGGTGAGCCCCGGCTCCGACCAAAACGGCTCCGCGGGGCAGACGGCAGAGTCGGCCGCCGAGACCTTACAGCTGAGAGGTGAGCCTATTCTCACACACATACTCACGTAGGGCATCCGAGACTCTCCAACTGATAGCTGAACTCCCCCATACACGCATACACATATGACGTGGGGTATGAAGTGACAATGACATGTATGCACCAGAGATCCATCCCGCCGCATTTCCATCACATTCCTTCTCACTGGTCATGGAAGGTCAGATGAGCGCTAACACTTCACCGTCGCCTGAGAATCTTCGACAAAGTCAAGAAAGCAAGGCTCCTGAAAGTCGCGTTTGAAGGCAGATACACTGCTGTCGCGGACCGCGGTATCCTATCTTATCGTATACAGCTGCGAACGGGTAGCGGCTGTTTGCTAACGAGCAATATACTCCATATCTTCCCAGTCGTTCGACGAATTAGCGTACCGAGGGTCTACGTTATATCCATGTATTTGGTACCCTTCCTTATCAATTCCGGCAGTTTGGTAGTTTGATCATTGTTTTTGATCGTTTAATGGTCCAATTGCTTGGATATATTTCGGGCCATTTTGTCAACACTCGCATTGAATGTGCACATCCTTTTACGCTGATACCTACCCGTGTCTCCGCCCTCCGGTCAAGTGTGTCAGTTCCGTGTCGGCGGCGGGCCTCCGTAAATAACCTGTGACCGGTGCGGGGGCGGCAGTCGCCCCGCCGTCGCCTCCTTTCGTTCCCGGTGGCCCCGACCGGCCGACGGCGCGTCGCTGACGCTGACCGATCCGCCAATCGATCACACGGTTCGGCACTAATGCAGGAACGGAAGTTTTTATTGTTCGACTTCTTGTTAGACGAGTTGATCTGGGGGTTGACGAGTTAGGCTAGATTGATATAGCCGGTACAAACATTACTAAACGGGATTCTTTGCGTTTTGACTTTTCGTCAGTCAGAGTAAGACTTCTTGGTCAATGGGAGTTAGAGAGTCGGTTTCTGAATGACAGCGGTGTGGGGGATGCAAATGGATGGCCGGGTCACATGACATTTCGGCTGAAAGATCGCCGGAACGGTATAAAATCCGAATGCGCTCCCATAAATATCTGACGGACTTCCGGTTTCTCCCACTCGCCAAGACTGGAGCGACCAAGGCTGGGGCTACCTATCAACGTTCTATCCCACCTACCAGACGCCTGCTAGCGCTACCCCAAACCGCTTGCCGCTACGGTCTTGTAGTTTCACTGCTCTTGGAGTCGGGTACGAGTTTCCATTCCTGAGCTTAGGGCATGGTCTGAGCTCAGGTTTAAGGGCATTTTCGTGTCCTATGAATATCATCTCTTCCCTTCCCGTCTCCTCCCCATTGTCCACACCTAGTCTGTCCGTGCGTGTCCTCTGGTGACAGTCGCAGTCGTCCTTCCGCCGGTTGGTCTCCGCCACAGGACGCGCGGAGCGCCGCCTATAAATAGCCGCCCTACCGGCGCGGCGCGCGGCGGGCCGGCCGTCTCGGCTGCCAGCTGGAGTGGCACGCCGGTACCGGCGGCGTGGGTGGTGACGCCGCCTCTCCGCCGCTCCGCCATGGCCGCGCTCAGTCGCACTCTGTTCCTGCTGGCCCTCACCGACGGGGTGCTCGTGTTCTGGGTTCTGGTGCTCTTCTGGTACCGGTGGCGGGTGCTCAGTGCTCCGGCGCCGTCCGCCGAAGACGAAGAGCTCCTATACGACGGCGACGAGTGATTACGGGGACCGGTGACAGTGTTGTGCGGGCTGGCTTTCAGGACTGTTAAAGCCGGCTTCAAGGCGATGCGGCCGGCCTCAGGACATCCCTGGCCGACCTCAAGATAACGCGAACTGCCTTCAAGAGCGCGCGACCTGACTTCAGTGATGCGTGCAACCACTGTGGACCGATCGACTGAAGTCGGAACGATGGGATAGGCGGCTGGTGGACCTGTCGAGCGGCCGGGCAACCCACGTTCCGTGCTCGTGGGAGGCCGAAAGGTGCTGGTTGGTCGCGGGTCGGGCCGAGCTGTAGTGAAGGTTTGAACGGTGTTTTGTCAGCCAATGAACGTTCAGTGTTGACTTAGCTAAATAGGTACTTATCTCGGCGTAGACCTCGGCACATCTCTGCCAAATACTGCTCTGGTCCAAAGCCGCAGCAAGACCTCTCCGTAATCCAGGTATGTGAATCCACGCGTGTGTGTCAGTTGATCATTCTGCCTTCGGTAATGTTCGTTGAGTTGTTCACACATGTCCAGCTGTCCGTACCAATTTGTCGGCACAGCGGAGCAGTGGTCAGTTGTGTTGATATGCGTCATCGGCATAGCAGCTTTTGTTTGTGTAGCCCGGCACGAGATCAGTGTTTGGACAGCGGGCAATTGACAGCCATTCACTGGACTGCCCCTCCTCCTTCGCTCGGCCTTGGAGTGGTTGCCAGACTCCCCCCCCCCCTCCCATCCTCCTCCATTAAAGGGACTATCCCACCTTCTAAAATGTTGTTAAAACCAGTTAAATTGTGCCCGACTTTATAGATTGGATGACCAGGAACACGGTTCTGGCATTTGTTTTTCATTAAACATCTTAGGCTTCCCATATTCCAAACACAAACTTTCAAATATATTGTGACGTCACAGCCCAAAATTACCTCCTTCCCCAGGCCACATTACTGTCATAAAGCTGATTCTTTTTACTCTGTAGGCACCACAACAAAGTTCAGACCAAGTTTTAAGCGATTTTTCAACGAACAAACCCATTTAAATCAGAATGACTAAACGAGGTGACGTCACACTAACGGTCGCTCCATGTTGAAGATAGGGCCTTGTACAAGGCCCATTTTCAAATGAAGGGAACGAATTTCTTCAACACCAAGAGGCCGCGGGGGTTGCAACCTAGATAGATAGTGGTTTCTGAACCTCGCCGCAAACTTGGCTATCTCAACTCAAACCCCATGTTAAAGGTGGGATAGTCCCTTTAACCTGTGAATCTGTCCCGCTTGTCCTCGTTCTCCCTTTGGAATCCGGTCCCTGTTCTTCTGAATTCAATGCCCTGCCACGCTCATATACTTCCCTTTTACCCAATCGGAATCATCTCAAACTTATAAATTGCCAATTATATTTCAACGTTCAACAATTGCGTTTTCCAGTGTGGTGAACAAAAACCAATTATTACATGCACTTACTCAAACAGCAACATTTCCCAAGCTATCCTGCAATATAAAACAAACCAAAACAATGATTTTGTTTAAATCGTGATTTTATCGTTATAAATGAATGGGGGCTAACGATACGGGGAGGTTAACGGAATGCAGTTGATTCACCGACAGAACTACAGTAACATGAGCAGTAACAGTAACCGATGCGGTTTCTTATTTCTGGACTGATGTCCCTGCGTGTTTCGCAAACTGATAACAGAGAGGGTCCTTGACTCCTTTTGTTGTGCAACAAACGAACCTTAACGCACCCTAATTGCTATCGCTGATATGGTCCCTCTCGATTCGTGTTTTCCTGAGCTGGTGTGCAGGCTCACAGTTCCGTTGTCCGGCTCTGTGTGCGTCCCCCGAGCTTTCCGTGATCTGGTCGTTCCTTGCTGTTTCAGCCAAAATACGACAGCAGGAGGAGCTACTGGGCAAGTGTCGCGACAACATCCAGCTGAACGTTACCCGTGCGGCCAGTCTCAGTGCCGAGAACGAGCAGCTTCGTCACCAACTAACCGCCACACAGGTACGTTTGTGCGCGTGTGTGAGGTTCCTCACAGGCTGTCCCTGGATGCTAACCACACGACATAAAGGGGTGTGTAATGCAGATGTGGTACGCCACAGTTTTGACGGGCGGTGGGCAGTTGTTGCGAATGGCTGGCCTGGCGGGCAGTCGGTGGTTGGTGAGAGCGGCTCATCTTTGAGGGCACCTCACTGGTCGGGGAGAGGGCAGCGGCAGGTGGCGCTCCGTGCGGTCGGAGTGTCGCCCTCTGCAGTGGTGTAGCGACTACTGTGTTGGACACTAGCGACACACGGTGACCAAACCGTACAATAGCAGTGGCGCTCCTTAACGACGGCGGAGCAAGACAGCGACACTGGCGGCACACGGTGGCACAACAGTACAGCGACAGTAGCGTCCCAGAGCGGTGGACTTCACCAGATCAGCCGTCATCGCACTGTCCGAGCGACGCAGCAACCCTCTACCGATTTGAGTTATGTTATGCGTCAGTTCACCAATGGAAGAGCGTATATGAAATAGCAAGGCATTCAATGACCTGCTGAGGTCAAATGACTATTAGGGGTGGTAGGTATTGCTATCCTCGTCGATGTTGGGCCTCGGTCCAGCCCGAATTACGTTTCGATGGGCCTGGTGCCGATTCCGAGCCTCTGGTGTGTGTTTTCACCAGTATTGGAGATTTTTGACCGTGCTGAAATGATCACCGTGCCGGTCAGCAATCTACAGGCCCTGGCTGTTATTGAACAGCATGTCTAGCATGGCTGCTGCTGTAAATGCAGCCCAGAAACATCGTGTCAAAAGCTTGTGTCGAGCTGTTTCGAGGCAGTCGAAAAGCGTTCTGGACCTTTTTCCAGCAATGCTAATAAGAGCGTCACTCGAGAGCCTGTGACATGGCCCACCAAAGCTAGGTACCACTATCGGCACCGTGCTACATCCTGAATGTCTCTCGCTGTGCATCGGTGCAGTGCGCGAGCAGGTAAAGGAACGTGATGTCCTCACTCCTCGTGGGGTTCAAGGCAATTGACAGATAACCAGGCGTTGTTCACACTACTCCATAATATCGCGATTCCTGTGGTGGGGCGTGTTGCGTATACTTTATTTTATGAGGACCACAGCTTAATCAAGTGTCGAAATCACTTTTTAGAAACCCGTCGTCGTTCGGCTGGTAAATTCATTTTTACGGGATATCAGGATTTCTCCTCCACAATGGTCATCTCAATGGACATATTGCCCGGTTGTGCCGAACGTCTGCCAGCCTGCTATTTGCCTCTCTGGCTGCCGGTTAACAGACTGGTATTCATTGACTGCTGGCCACCGTTTGTCCGCCTTTCATCCAACGTCTGCCTGTTTTCCGTCTGCCCTCGGGTTATTTGACGGTCATCATTCGATCTAACCATCTGTCATTTGACGGTCATCATTCGTTTTTCCCTCGTGTCATTTGACGGTCGTCATTATATTTTCCTGTCATCTTATAGTCATTCTTCCTTCTTGCTGTCCATTTCATGGCCATCGTTCGATCTTCCCGCGCCGGTCATTTGACGTCCATCATTCGATCTTCCCGCGCCGGTCATTTGACGGCCATCATTCGATCTTCCCGCCGGTCATTTGACGGCTATCATTCGATCTCCCCGCCTGCCCTCCGGTCATCTGACGGTCATCATTCGATGGCGCTCTGTCAGGGGGCAGCTCGTTTTGGACACGGTGTCGGCGGCGCCGGCAGAGTGCCAGTGGCTCGCCTGCCCGGCCCGGCCGCTCGCCAGCGGCTGGGACGTTCTACTCCGGGGACGACAGCGGCTCGGACGAGGCCAGGCGGTGGTGCTGTTCGGTGTGCGCGCGCGAGGGGAAGACCGTGAGAGTGCGATTCGAACGCCGGGCCAGTGATCCAGCGGTGACTGACGCTGTGATAACAGACAATGGAGACGGCCGAACAGACAGTGGAGGGGGTCGAACGGACTGACACGGCTGGTCAGGAAGCCGCCACGGATACCCAGCCGACCGCCTCAGTAGATTCCCCAGCAGTCACAGCTGACCAACCGGCTGCTTCAACTGACCCTCCAGCTACCTCTGTAGACTCGCCAGCTGCCACAGCCGATCCTCCAGCGGCCAAAGCTGACACTCCAGCCGCCGCAGGCACCGATGCCTCGGACTCAGTCAAGCCCAAGAAGAAGGTCGTCAAGAAAGTGGTCCGCAAAAAGAAGGTTGCCCCCAAGGAGATACGAGAGGCGACACCGGAGCCATCAGCGGCGGCGGCGGCGGGCGGTGCCGAGCAGCCGGAGCCCGAGCGCCGGCCACCGGCGGCCGAGGTGGCTGAGGCGGTGCGCCGGCAGGTCGAGGAGACGGCACAGAGTCGCCAGGCGCTGGAGCTCGCCGGCAGCCAGTGCCGGGAGGCGGCCGAGGCAGAGCGGCCGGCCTACACCTGTCAGCCGGCCGACTGGAACCTGCGCGCCGCCGCTGGTGACGACGAGCGGATCCAGGTAGTCGAGGGGATGTGAGATGGCTAAGCTGGAGAATGGATGGATTTTTTTATTGCGGGTTACTACACACTGCCTGTAGGGGGTGAGTGTGTAGCTTCCATCCACTTCTCGTGGGGAGTGGCTCTGACGGTCTAGTTGGTGGGACCTTATCTTGGTCCCAATTTAACGTCAGCATCAGCATTTTGTTGTTATTACTGTTGTTGCTGTCACAATTGTGTGCCCAGCGTCGTGGCCCGAGGACTTGGCCTGGCCAATCTTGATTGAGCCGAAGGCAGTCCGACATCTATTTACGTCAAGTAGCAGGTGTTTTCTCCATGTTCGTGCTCCCTTCTTCGATGTTTGGAACTGATGGAAAACATGCAGGCTCACCAATTATTACAACCACATACTTTGAGAGTCACCGAAGGATAACTCCTCTAAAGGAACCATGGTTTTGCGCAGCATGCAATAGCAGTCATAATGAAATGCTAAAAAGTTGGACAACCAACACAAAAACAGCGAAGACATTGGCTGCATGCTGCATGACCTCAGACACGTTTTAGGTGTTTAAGAGCAGCGTTATGCATTCCGAGATCCGCGATACTATTTTCGTTGAAGTGACATGTAATAAATATACTCGTATTTTTGCGGAGGTTGTACGTGACAGCACTCTGATAGTCCCAAAAGGTCGTAAGCGTGTGACCACTGTGATCCCAATGTCCTCATACTACACTACTTTCCTCTTCACTGGTTTGCTTCAAAGCACAATTGGTCGTCCCTCGAGATTAACATACTCCCCACAGACACATATGTTTATCTCAGCAATTCAGTTGATGGTGTAGCCAGTTGAACTGGGTAGAACCGCCGGTCGGCGCCCCTTGCGTCGTCAGCAACTCACAATATTTGACCTTTCCGCTCACCGGAGTCCCGTGGTTTCGAGTCTTCTCAAATCACTCGGTCGGAATGTTTCCTGCCCTCCCGCACAAATGTCATTGACAGCCCCCGTCTCTCCGACATCCACGGCAGCCCACCGCACTGTGCTGTCACCGTCAGCGATTTTTTTCCGTCTACCGAAGTCAGTACGGGCTCTGCCTTTTGGCTTTGATCGCTGGTTGCGGAAGTCCGCCGTGCATGTTGACCGTGATTTCCCCCTGGTGGTTCGCCGCGTATTTTGACCGTGACCGCCGTCCGCCGCCGGCCAGTCTCTCGCTCACCGGCCACGGCCGCCGTATTTCGGGTCTGGCCAGCAATGCGGCCGGGACCGGTGCCAGAGACAACAGCTGACTGAGGCAGCCGGCAGGCCTCCCTCCGGCGGCCCCGGCCCATCGACGACCTTGTCTGTTGGAGAAGCGTAGTTCGACACGCCGTTGAATACGCGCATCGCTAACAGGTGCCGTGAGAGACGCGTCAGGCGTGCTTGGTTCGATCCCTGGGGAAACACACTGGCTGCTGACATACCCTGACCAGAGGGACCCGGCCCTGGGGACTCACATCGTCAGCTGTCACAGCCGTCCCGGGTCCAACGAACGGTCTCGGCAGAAGCTGGCAACAGGTGGGCGTGGTTGCTGTGGCGGCCGCAAGAGGCGCCACTGTCGACTGTGACACAGATCTGCCGCTGCCTATCTAACGCGGTGACGGATGGAATCTGGGCAGAACTGGCATCGCACCAGAATAGCACCGCCAAGGACCCGGCCTTAGTCACTAGTGCAGTGAGCCCAAACCAATTCTGAAACATTGTCAGAAAAAATGTCGGCACAAACGGAATGTGACGAGTGTGAGTTGTGATATGTGACAAATGTTCGTTAGCTCGAATGTCTGGAGGCATTGGTGTTCAATCTGTCTATGTCTGACAATCTGACTGAAAGTGGGCACATACAGAATGTCTTATGCGTCGCAATGTGCTGGAGACGGGCCTCTCCAGCACATTGCGACGTCGCTGGTATTCGCTCTGACTGTGTCTGATGGTCCAGTGTTTTATTTACAATCGCACTGAAAACACCGCTGTAAATTGGAACAACTGAAAGCCGTGCTGTCCCATCTGTCTGTGTCTATCTGTCTGTCTATCTGGTTGTCTGTCTGTCTAATTGTACTTAACTGTCTGTGTGTTGTATCGACAGGAGGCCCACCGCAGTGAGCTGGAGCGCCTGGAAGCCGTGGTGACCGACCTCCGCCAGACGATGAGCTCGGCACAGCAGCAGCAACAGGAGAGCGCCATGACCACCGCCGAACAAAAGGCCAAAATGCACCAGGAGCTGGAGCTCAAGGAGGCCCAGGTCAGTCGGGCAGTCATCGCTAAAGAGGGTTCTTGTTAGCCAGCGGTAGTGCAGTTGTTTGTTATCTGAACTGTGTAGGCTCGCACTTCTTTTCACTCCTGCACAGTCGGTGTGTGGTTAATCGACGGGCTACATATTATGACAATATGTGGGAGTTTTTTATGAGTGTATATGGAACTAATTGGCCTACGGAGGTGTGACCGTGTTTCGTTTTTCAGGTTCGTCAACTCCAAGAGGATGCCGAATCAAAACGAAAGGCGCTGGAGCAGCTTCAAAGTCGAGGTAATCCATTTTAGGCTGACTAGACTTTGCTACATGACAAGCACTTTTATGCTGAATTCCTCATCCAAAACCTTGCAGGCAGTGTGCTATTTTTGTATGAACAGAAAAGGACATGTTGATATGAAATGTGGAAACCATGAGCTGTGGAGAAAGTATCTGAGGGCCAAACGTAAATTTCGAGCGAATTCCAGGTCATAGGTTGTGGCAATACACTTCTAGAGGATCTTGTAAACAGCATTCGTTTCTTGACTGTCAGCTGGCACACATCGTCAGCGCTACAGCAACGATGCAACCTTATATTTTATCCATTATCTTGTCACAGTTGCCACACTCGAAACGGAAACGAGCCAGCTGCGCGAAACACACCGCCATCAGCTGGAGGAGGTGGAGCGACTGTCCGAGGAAGAAAAGGCCGGTCTTGTCCAGGTGGGTCGGTAGGGTCTGTAGGGTCTGTAGTGTACCGCAATTAGCCGGTCTGGTGCTGGTGGGTCTGTAGGGTCCTGTGCTGTGTACTTGTAGATTGCGGTTTACTGCCATCAGCCGGTTTGGCGCTTGTGGGTCTGTAGGGTCTTGTCATTCAACCTCCTTGCCAGACGTGTTGGTGACAGCACAGGTCTGGCGGACGACGACGGTACAACAGTGACAGTCTTCCCTCTCCTCCCTCTGGCCTCCCTCCCGCGTTCTTATGTCTCGAGCCCCGCTCGCTCTCCTGTCTCCCCATGTTCTCGCCTGGTGTCCGTGTCGGAATTCAGTGTCCCTCCTCTGACCGCCTGGCCGGGACCCGGCCCGACCAACTGGCCAGCTGCCGGGCCGCTGAGGTGACTCCGGTCCGGCCGATCTGGCACCGGCCACCGATGGCAGCCGTCCCCTGAAGTCGCTGGCCAGACGCCCGCTGTCCACAGCAAATAAATAAACCGGCTATGAAATATTTTGTAGGCCTCGATGTTTCTATTTTAGACCGATAGCCAAAATGAAAGAGGAACCTCAGTCGCCTTGTAAGCCCGTAAGGTATATAGTTATATCGCATTAACCAAAACCACACCGTCAATGAGAATATCTTGTAAGACGCTTATATTGTTACGGTCATCTACACCTTTCGAATTCCTTCGGCTCTTGAGAAAAAAACGTAATTTTCGTTGTTGTGTCGCCAGGAGCTGTCGCGGGCCAAGCAGGAGGCCCTGCGTCTGCTGGAGCAGGAGCTGGAGGCGCGCCTGGCCGAACAGTGGGGCCGCCGGCTGCAGCTGCGTGAGGACGAACTGCGGGCAGAGATACGAGAGAAGGACGACCAGCTGCAGCTGGCGGCCGAGACGGAGCAGCTGCAGCGCGAGGCGGCAGCTGCCGGTCGCGAGCAGCCGCCGGACGACAGCACAGCGGTAAGAGAGCGGCATAGGGAGCTCGGTGAGACGCCAGATGGAGGGCCTATTGACTGTGATCAGGGCAGGATTGATTCGTATTTGTATTTGTATTTGTATTTACATCGTGCAATCGGTCCATGAACACATGGCTATTATGATTGACATGTCATAAAAACGGAACATTGGGATTCAGTTGCACAACTAACACACACATTTACGCACACACACTCAGCTCACGTCACATCTGTGCATCGCGCTACTCTTTTGTTGTTTTGCCAGAAGATGTTTGCGGAGGTTTAGCCTGAACTCTCGCGTTCCCATGTTGTGGAAATTCGTGGGCCGTCCGTCCCGATTCCGAGCGGCGACGCGGGAAACGGCTGAGGTTTGGCAGTTAACCACACATTGCTTGGATTTCTGAGCTATTTTCGTCTGCCTTTGTCATTCAGTATCAATCAGTAGGGTGTGCGGCTGGCTAACGGCTTCCTTTCTGGCTCCCTACCGTGTGACCTGTTTGACTGACATGCAGTTTTCTGTGATGTTTTCTGTTTGTCCGTTCTGGACCATGTTATTTCTCAGCTTGTCGTTGTTGCTTGCTTCGTCCCTAGTATGACGGTAGGTACTCTATTTGTTTCAGGACATAATAGACGCGCTGCGAGCTGAGCAAGTGGCCCTAGAGGCCCGTCTGAGACAGGCCGAACAGGCCCGGGACGAAGCCCGGGAATGTCTGCAGCAGGCCAACAAAGACGCCGAAGCCAAGCTCGAGCAGAGCCGCAGAGAAGCCGAGGCCAAGCTAGAGGAAGTCCGAAAAGAGGCCGACGCAAAAATAGCGGAAGCTGAAGAGTTGCAGACTAGATTAAATACAGCCAAGGCAGAGTTAGACGCTAAGGCAGAACAGGTGGTGAAAGAAGTCAGTAATGAAACTGAGGCTCAGAACGAAAAGGTCACTGAAGAAATTGAAATGAAAGCCGATCAGCCTGCCGTAGAAACAGCGACTGTGACTGAGGCTCGGCTGGAAGAAGCTAGAGCGCAGGCTCGTCTTGAGACTGAAGCCCAGCTAGAAGAGGCCCGGAAGGAAGCGGAGGCTCGTTTGGAGAAGGCTCAGAAAGATGCCGACGCCCGCGTTGAAGAGGCTGAGAAGGCTGCTGATGCTCAGGTGAAAGAAGCCGAGGAGGCTGCTAAGAAGGCAGCAGACGTCCGGGTAGAAGAAGCCGAAAAGGCCGTTGAAGCCAAGGTGGAAGAAGCTAAGAAGACCGCCGACTCACGTGTAGAAGAAGCTGAAAAGGCTGCTGATGCTCGGGTAGAAGAGGCTAAGAAGACTGCTCAAGAGGCCGCTGAGCTTCGTGTAGAAGAGGCCAAGAAGGCGGCTGAGGAGGCTGCCAATGCCCGGAAAGAAGAAGCTCAGAAGGCTGCCGACGCCCGTCTGGAGGAGGCTGAAAAGGCCGCTAAGGAAGCCGCTGACGCTCGTTTAGAGGAGGCTCAGAAGGCTGCCGAGGCTCGTTTGGAGGAGGTTCAGAAGGCCGCCGACGCTCGTCTAGAGGAAGCTCAGCGTCAAGCTGCCGCCCAGCTAGAGAGTGAGGTGGCCGCAGCCCGACAGAGTGCCAGCGCAGAGTACAGGTGACGTGACACACACACACTGGCCTTGCTGTGGCCAGCCCCCCCCCCCCCCCCCCCATCCCCACCCCACCCATACACAATATGGACTGTTCCCCTGCTGTCCTCCGGTACAAAAACCTTTTGATATTTATTGGGGAGTACTTACTGCTTACGGAAGTTTTTTTTTTCTTACTGGGCCGGGTAGTGTTTTCAGATGCTATTTTGTTGTGATTGATGGCGGGTTAATTATAGTACCTGGCACCCGGCTAGAACAGATTGCCCCGTTTCTTCTTAATCCGAATTCTCAGCACGTTTGTGTGTATTGTTACTTTTATTGCTGTATTGTTGTTACTTGGGTAGTAGGTGACTGTGAGCATATTGTGTTGTACCCATAAGTGATGGTAACGTGTAACTCTTTATGCCTCCAGCGCCAAGCTGGAGTCTCAGTCGCAGGCGGGGGCGGACAGCGCGGCCGAGCACGAGACAGTCGTGTCCGAGCTGCGCGCCCAGCTGGAGGCCGAGCGGCGCCACTCTGCCGAGACATCTGAGGAGCGCCGGCGGCTCGAGCGGCGCATGGAGCAGCTCTCGGGCGTGGTTCGCTCGCTGGAGGAGAGCCTGGGCGAGCTGAGCAGCAAGTACGAGGCTGAGAGCCGGTCGGCGGCGGCGCTGGCGGTCGAGCGGGACCGGCTGAACGGACAGCTGGGCGGCGAGCGCCAGCAGCGGGACGACCAGCTGGCCGAGCTGCGCGCCCAGCTCGAGCTGAACGCCGCCCGGCTCGGCGACTTCAGCAGCCAGGCGGCCGCTCTCAGCGACGCCAAGCGCGGCCTCGAGGAGAAGGTGGCGGCGCTCTCGGCAGCCGCCGACGCCGACCGGCAGCGCGCCGAGCAGGCTCTGGCCGAGCGCGAGCGCGAGCTGGCCGAGCTGCGACAGCGCGCCGAGACCGCCGAGCAAGCTCGAGACGAGCGCGACGCCCAGAAGACGGAGCTGGACGAGGCACTGCGCACGGCGCGCAGCGAGCTCGAGTCGACGGTAAGCGACCTGAGCGACATTGACGAGATGTCTGAGGGTTTCAGGCCAGACGTTCAGCGTTTGTCGGCGGAGGTGAGCCGACTGCAGGCCAAGCTTCACTCCCAGAAACAGCGCGCTGATCAGCTGCAGGATTCCAACGAGAAACTGACCAGCCGGCTGCTCCAGATGGAGAAAATCGCCCTCAAGGTCGAACTGGTCGAGAATGAAAACCAGAACCTGAAGGGCGAGCTGGCCTTCGAGCGCGAGCGAGGCCGCAAGCACCGGGACCGCGTCAAGGTGCTGAAGAGCCTGCACGCTGTGACCAAGGACGAGGTGACCGGCATCCAGGCCGACTTCAGTCTGGTGCAGGACGAGGTGCAGAGTATCCGCGCGTCACTGACGGAGCGGCTGGAGCGCGTGCAGCAGCAGGGACACTCCCTGGAGCAGCTGCAGCACAAGCTGGACCAGGCCATGGCCGAGAAGGCACAGCTGCGCGCCCAGCTGGAGACCGGCATCGAGAAGAAGGAGCACGAGCAGCGGGACATGATGCAGGCGCTGGAGAAACTCGGCCGCGAGATCGAGACGTACAAGGCCGAGTGTCGTGACCTGGGCTCGTCGGACGACCGGCCGGCGGACAGCACAGACGCGGCAGAGGCGGACCCGGCCGGCGCCGACCCTGAGCCTGCCGCCGGAGACTCGGAGACGGACGACGCCGCGCTGCGCAGTGAGCTGGCCGGTCTGCAGAAGGTGTCCGAGACGTACCGTCTGCAGCTGGCCGAGCTGCAGGCGCAGCTGGACGAGGCGGCCCGGCAGCGGCAGCTGATCGAGCTGGAGAAGAAGTGTCTCCAGGAGCGGCTGCAGCAGCAGCAGCGAGACAAGGACGATGTCTCGCTGAAGATGGACGCGCTCTGTTCGGACACCAACTCGGTGCTGATCCAGCTGAGGGAGGAGAACGCCGAGCTGCGTGGCCAGGTGGAGTCGGAGCGGAGCTGCGCCGCCGAGCTGGCCACCCAGCTGGCAGCGGTCGAGACGGATAGGAAGCGGGTCGACCGTGACATCGCCGACGCCGGCCTCGACAAGGACACGCTGGCAGCCAGGATCGCGCTCTTCAAACAGCAGCTCAAAGAGCAGTCGGAGCTGATTGACTGCTACAAGTACGAGATCAGCACGCTGAAAACCAACTACGACAGTCTGGAGTCCGAGGTGAAACGTCAGGAGGAGCTCACCGCGTCACTGCGCGCTGTTAATGTCGAGATCGACAGGAAGCTCAATGCCGAAAAAGAGCTTAAAAAAAACTTCGAGGAGAAATTGAATCAGACGTTGACGGAAGTAGCGCAGCTTCGGTGTAGTATGCAGGAGCTGCGTGCCAAGAATGCTTCTCTAGAGGAGCAATTAGTGAGTGCGAGTGCTGTGAAACCTTTAGCAAGTGAGGCCCCGTCCGTAGAGAGCACACAAGTGGAGCAGGAGGAGAAGGTGATGTCTTCAGATCAGTCATTGTGTCAGGAGCTTGTGCCTCCAGTAGGCGATGCTGGGGACAAAGAAGTGACCGAGTTAGTGGAATGTCCGAATGTTGTGGAAAAAGTAGAGCTGTGTGAAGCGGTTCCTAAGAGTGACCATCCCCCGGTGCTGGAGTCGGCTAGACAGGACAGTGAGGCACCATTGAAGGCGCAAGATTTACACCAGCTGAATGTGGAGTTGGAGGCTCGCTGTCAGGCGGCGGAGAGGCGCGTCACCGCTCTGGCCGCCGAGCTGGAGCAGACCGCTGCCGAACTGGATCGTTTGCGTCTGCGCCAGAGCAGCTCGGACTCCGAGCCGAGAGACCCGGAGGCCGAGGAGTCGGCCCAGGGCAGTCAGCTCGGCGCAGGACTGGACGAGATGATGTTACTGCAGCAGGGTAGGCTCAGTGAGCTGACGCGGCGCTCTGAGGAGCTGGCCGACGACAACCACCGGCTGGTGGCGGCGCTCAGCGCCTGCTCCATTGAAATGGACGCACTACGGGCGGAGTTGGGGCAGGTGGCGGCTGAGAAGGCGATGCTGGAGGCGGCAGCCGCCGCACCCGATTCTGCGACCTTCCCAACCATCGCGACAGACTCAGCAACCGTTTCTAACGTACCCGACTCAACAACCGCTGCTACAGCGTCTGAACCCACGCCCGCCCCTACGCCAGACTCCACGGCCTCCGCCTCCGACACCGTGTCATCCGTCACCGCCGCCCTGGAGGAGGAGCGCAGTCGTCTGAGTGCAGAGTTCGACGCACTTCAGCTGGTGTATGAAAACACCTCCGTCACCCTGGAGGAAACCACTGAGCGGCTGCGGCGAGCAGAAGACGACAAGGCCCACCTGCGCCGAGTGCTGGACAATCAACGCGAAGAAATGGCCGCTAAGACGGAGGAGTTTGACGAGCGTCTGCAGGAATATCTTCGAGAGATCACCAACAAAAACGAGGAGATTGCTGTGTTTCTGGCGGAGCTGAAGACCAACCAGGACGAGATGGCGGATGCTCGCGCGGAGGTGGACAGAATGCAGGAGCTGGTGCGAACCAAGGAGACCGCGCTGCGAGCGGTTAGTGGAGAGCTGGCAGCCGCCAAGACGCGGCTCCACACCGAGTGCGAGCGTTTCCTGGCCAGGGAGTCGGAGCTGGCGCGGAAGCTACAGGAGGAGAAGGAGCGCTTCATCAGCCAGCTGACGGAGGTGCGGGAGACGATGCGGACTTCGATCGACACCATGCAGGCGAAAATTCAGCAGCTGAACGGCCTGCTCAAGAGTCAGGACCTGGCGCACCACGTGGAGCTGAGCCGACTGCGCTGCGACTACGAGCAGCGTCTGGAGGCGCTGCAGCAGGCCCTGGCGGCGCTGCGCTCCCAGTGTGACCACACCATCGCCGAGCTGATCGCCTCGCACCGGCGGCAGCTGGACGAGCTCAGCCAGCAGCTGGAGCGGACGCGGCTCGAGCTGGAGCAGCTGGCCACGCAGCGGCAGCAGTGTTTCGACGAGGCGCAGTCGGACGCGGACGCGCGCCTGTCGGCGGTCACCGCCGAGCACCGCCAGGCCATGGAGCGACTGCAGAGCCAGCACGAAGCCAGCGTGCGCCGACTGCGCGACGAGTACGAGCAGCGCGTGCAGCAGCTGAGCTGCCGCGCCGAGGAGGGCCGCCAGAAGTACCAGCGCAGCCTGGCGTCGGCTGAGGGCCGGCTCCAGGCGCTGGAGGCCGAGCTGGCAGAGGCGCGGCGCCGGCACCAGCTCAGCGAGCAGGCGCTGGAGCAGGAGCACCGCGAGGAGCTGGCCGCCCTGGTGCGCAGTCAGAGCTACCTGGCCGGCGCTGGGGACGAGGACGGTGACGAGGTCAGTCGGGCCTAGAGCCGACCGGCGCAGCAGCCGTCCGAACTCCTCCGTGTGACTAACAGCAGCAACTACGCCTGGAGTGCCGCGCCAGCGTAACAGTGGAGTGTGCGCCCCGCATAAAGACCTGCACCGACCGAGACCGGCGCTGAAGTAGCATTAAGTCCTGCCTGCAACCTGTGGACCCCGTAGTTTCTCAATTAGCCATTGGATTGGAGCCAAGCGTGACTACTGAATACCAAGTACAGATGTAGCTTACACTAGAAACTTAAGACCAACGTGTGCTTTCGTGTATGCTTGAAATGCCTCCAAGTATTGCAATGCTCAAATTCAGATTCGTTGAAATAACCTCCAATTTTTATGGGTCCAATCATACTAGAGCTGTCGAGTACATCATCTGGTCAGATTGAGCCTGATTTTGGGCAATCTTTGGACATTTTTTACGTACCCTAGTCAGCTTATCCCTATTCCCCTTTGACTAACGGCCTGTACCATTGACCTCACCAGCCGCGACTGCGTGTGCCCTTTACCCTGTGACTGATGTGCTCTATGAACGATGTGTTTGGCGCTGACAACAGAGCTGTCCCTAGTCCAACACTTGATGCTTTCAAGCGTTGTGCGTTACTGTTTTATGTGTCTGTCCATTAGAAATGTGTCGACGATACCTTATTTATTGGTAATTTGTGTGCACCTTCTGATGTCCTTGAAACTTTATTTTGACTATGGTCTATAATTGTCAGTTAATTTGACATGTGCCTGAAATATGCCTGATTCATAACAAATATTTTTGCAAATCAGTTTACCGATAAATATCCATTGTTAAAAGCTGGTAAATTATCGCCGTCTGTCCGTCCGTTTACTCCGTCCGTCTGACGCCCGTTCCGTGCTCGTTTCAGCGCCGGGAGAGTGAGGAGCGCGCGGCGCGGATCGACGAGCTGCAGTCGGCCAGCGCGGCGCTCGACTCGCAGGCGGCGCTGGCCGAGGACGCCAACCGGCGGCTGGCGGCCGAGCTGGCGGCCCTGCAGCAGACGGCCGACCAGCTGCACACCAGGTTAGTGCACACGGAGGCAGCCGGAGTACAGAGCCAGCAGCAGGCGCAGCGTGACGTGCTACAGTGCCAGGAGGAGGCGCAGGCCGAGCGGGACGCGCTCAGAGCCGAGCTGGAGACGGCACAGCAGGAGCAGACAAGGCTAAATCAGGAGCTAGAGACCGCTCAGCAGGAGCGGACGAGGCTTAATCAGGAGCTAGAGACCGCTCAGCAGGAACAGACCAGGCTAAATCAGGAGCTGGAGACAGCCCAGCAGGATAGAGCTCGGATAACCAGTGAGCTGGAGACGTCCCAAGAGGAGCAAACACGACTAAAGACGGAGCTGGAGACAGCGCAACAGGAACAAACCCGTCTTAGCGCTGAACTGGGGACTTCACAGCAGGAGCAAACACGGCTAACTACAGAGCTAGAGTCGGCACAGCAGGAGCGAACCCGGCTAACTACAGAGCTGGAGTCGGCACAACAGGAGCAAACACGGCTAACTACAGAGCTAGAGTCGGCACAGCAGGAGAGAACCCGCCTTAGCACGGAACTGGACACTGCGCAACAGGAACAAAACCGACTTAGCGCGGAGCTAGAGACGGCACAGCAAGAGCAGACGAGGTTAAACACTGAGCGGGAGACGGCACAGCAGGAGCAAAGCCGGTTTAGCACAGAGGTAGAGTCGGCACAAAAGGAGCAAAGCCGGCTCAGCACCGAGCTAGAACATGCCTCTGAAAATGTAAAAGCATTAGAGGCTGCTTTGGAAACAGCGAAGGGTGAAAGCTCAGAATTGCAAACCAAACTGGATGCCGCGACTGATGAGACGACACATTTGAAGGTTTCTCTCGAAGAAGTAAAGCAAGAGAAATCGAAGCTGCAGGAGCGACTGGAAGGCGCTGACAAAGTTACAGCAGACCTGAATTCGAGTGTTGAACTGTCTTCTCAGGAGAAAGAAGATTTGAAAGCGCAGCTGTCGGCAACTAAGCAGGAGGTGACAGAAATGGAGGCCAAATTGGAAACGGCTGAACGGAGAACAGCAGAACTCGAGACAAAGCTGGCTGAAACTGAGCAAAAAGGAACGGACGCTCAGGCGAAACTGGATGCGGTTGAAGAGGCATCTTCGGAGCTGAAGGTAAAACTCGAGACTTCAGAGGGGACGGCAGCTGAGCTTGAGGCGAAGTTAAAGACAGCGGAACAGGAAACTACTGATTTAAAGGCGAGCTTGGAGACCGCGAACCAGGAAACCGTAGAGCTCAAGGTGAAACTGGTGGCAGCAGAACAAGAGACAGAAACGCTTCGGGCCAGTCAAGAAAACGCGAAGCAAGAAGCGACAAAGTTCAAGGCCACAATGGAAGCCAATGGTGAGTCAGAGAAGGAACTCAGGAGCAAGCTCGCTGAAGCCGAGGAAGAGCAATGCGCTTTGAAGAGCAGACAAGCCGATGCCGATCAGGAGCTGTCTGCTGTCCGGGCGCGGCTGGTAGAACTGGAGACATCATCATCAGATCTGTCGGGTCGCCTCCAGACCGCCGAGGAGCAGCTGACAGCGGCTGAACAGCGCGCAGCCGAGCTAACACAGGCTGCCGAACAGCGTGCTGCTGAGCTGGTTCAGGTGGCCGAGCAGCGTGCAGCGGCAGAGAGCGCCCGAGACGAGGCGGTTGGCCGGGCTGAGTCACTACAGGCCGAGCTGACAGAGGCTGCCGAACAGCGCGCGGCGGCAGAGAGCGCCCGGGACGAGGCGGTCGCCCGGGTTGACTCTGTGCAGGCAGAGCTGAGAGCACTCCAAGAAGCGGACGGAGAAAGACAGCGACAGGTCGAAACGAGCCGCACTGAGATTGAGCAGCTTACCAATAAACTACAAAGCGTCGAAGCTGAATATGCCAAGAAAACCGATGAGCTAAGCTCTCTGCAAGCAGAAAAGGCAGACGTTGAATCGCAAATGCAAACACTGCGGCAAGAGCTCGAACAAAAGGTTGCTGAAAAAGAAGCGATAGTCTCAGAGAAGGTGACTATCGATGAGAGAATCCGATCGTTAGAACACGAACAGAAACAGGGAGCGTCCAGTTTGGAGTCGACTGCTGCGGAAAAGACTGCGTTACAGAATCGTGTCGGGGAGCTGGAGAAACTTCTGGAACAAAAGTCGGCTGAGCTGGCTGCCTCCCTCGGTGAGCGTGAGACCGATGCTCAGAGCCAGCAGACCCTCACCAATGAACTGCAGGAAAGGTCTGCCAGGCTGGAGGAGCTCGTTAGTCGCTGCGCTGCGCTGGAGGCTGAGTCTGCCGCCGGAGCCGAGCGGGTGGCCGCACTGAACGCTCAGCTGGTCGAAGCTCAGAATCGTATATCGGCACTCACGGCCTCTGCGGACGCAGCCAGGTCAGAGCTGGAGTTGACGAAGGCCGAGCTGGCGGCGGCTGTGGCGGAGAGGGACGCGGTCCGTTCAGACCGAGAGTCTGTCAGCTCGGAACTGGAGTCTGTACGAGCCACAGCTGCCGAACGGGAGGCAGAACTGGCGACAGCTGTAGCAGAACGAGACACGATTCGAACAGACCGCGACAAGACCACGTCAGAGCTGGAGTTGACCAAAGCTGAGCTGGCAGCGGCAGTAGCAGAGCGGGATGCTGTCAGAACGGACCGAGACACGACCACGTCGGAGCTGGAATCTGTTCGTGTCGTGGCTGCAGAGCGGGAAGCCGAGCTGATTGCTCTGAGAGTTACATTGCAGGAGCAGGAGGGCCGGCTGTCGGCGGAAGTGACTGAACGGGAGGGACGGCTCGAGCGGGCCGAGGCGGCGGCGGCCGAGCTGACTGCTGAGCTGTCTGCTGAGCGCGCCACTCAGGCCGGTAAGACGGAGGAGCTGACAGAGCTGATCGCCAGTCTGGAAGAGGCGCGCGCGGAGACTGTCTCGGTGCGCTCGCAGCTGGAGCGCAGTACCGCCGAACTGAGGGCAGCTGGTGAGACCCGTGACGACCTGGAGCGCCGGCTGACCGAGGTCGAGAATCAGCTCGCCGAGAAACAGCGCCAGTACGCGACTGCCAGCTCCGCCAGCGCCGAGCTCGAGCGTCGTCTGGAGCAGGGACTGGTCGACAGACAGGAGGCGGAGCGGCGCGCCGAGCAGGCCGATATTCAGCTGAAGAACGGCCAGAACGAGCTTGGCACTCTGCGTGCCACCCGAGAACAGCTGGAGGTAGACGTTCGCCGACTGCGTGACGAGCTGAAGACGCTAACAGCCGGCAAGGTCAGTGTCGAGCGAGACCTGGACGACTGGAAGGAGAAGCTGCGTGACGCCGAGAATGAGCGAGAACGACTGGAGGAGCGACTGGAAGAGGCCACCAAGGAGCGGGACGCGGCCGAGCGCGCCCAGCAGGAGGCGCTCGAGAGCCGCGGTGACTCGGAGCGGCGGCTCGCTCAGCTGGAGGAGGAGGCTGCGCGCGCGACCGCTGCGCTGGCCGACTCTGAGCAGCTCTCCGAGCAGAAGCGAACGCTGGAGACGCGGGTGACCGAGCTGGAACAGCAACTGGCGCAGGCCGGCGAGCGGGCGGCCGGCGCCGAGCGGCTGCTCAGTGCCATGACTGAGGAGAAGCAGGCGCTGGCGGAGCGGCTGCAGCAGCTGGAGCGGGCTGCACCGGTCGCTGACGACGGGGTCGGGGTGGCTGAGCGTCCTCCGGTTCCGGTGGACGAGGCGGACGCCGTGTCTGCGGTGCAGGCGCGGCTGTGCGAGGCTGGCCCGCCCGGGCCGGCGACGGACGAGCTGCAGCAGCTGCGTCAGCGGTCTGCCGAGCTGGAGACTGAGCTACAGCAGCTGCGGGCGGACCAGCAGGCGGCTGAGGAGCAGCGCGCCGACCTGCAGAGGCTGCTCGACGCCGAGAGAGACAAGGCCAAGTGAGTTGGTTACCGCGCTGCGGACGGACGGCGCGCGCCGTGGCCGGGCGGTAGGCTGCATGTGAGCTGCGAGCCGCTCCCCCTCCCCGCAGCTGTGGCTCCGCTGTACACCGATTAACGATGGCTGCCAATGTCTGTCGGCTCACGTCTGCTTGCCTGCAGTTCCACTCCCGGGGATGTTGTGCTGCGCTGTGCTGTGTTATGTTGTGTGCTGTACTGTGTTGTATGCATATTTGTGTTTTGTTAACTCCACTTAACGCCTATTAATAACCAGTTCTACAATTTTTAAAGGAGCCGCTCTACTTGAAATGACGTTTTGTTATATGGGTAATTATATTTCCCTCTCACTTTTCAGTTTCGAATGCTGCAAGCATAACTGTACAGTTCGTGTACCTCAAAGTATAGTTACGTATACCGTCAGCCACCGTCGCGTTTACTTTAAACACTTAGTGGCCAGGAGCCGTGCTGCCGGTTGCATTAGACGTGTGGCCTTAGATCGGCCTCTGCCTTCCGCTCTGTGCCGGAAATTGGACCCTGTTTCTCGGTACCATGTGGGCAGCTGCGCGCTCTGGCGGACAGTGCAGCCCAATCCAGTCTTCGCCACCGCGACATGCGGGACCGTCCGTGACAAGGGTAGACGCGAAATGTCATTCTAATGACATGCCATAATCAAACGGGCCGTCATATTTCCGAAATCAATTCGTTAGCAATCTGCTAATTTCCGTCGAGCTGTCGGGCCGACTGTGATACATTGTGGTGGCGTCACGCGAGGCACTGCGTGGGGGTTGGCAGCCGGGCCTCGGGGGACTTATGGGCGTCAGTGGAACGGCTGTCAAACGTTCGGATCCCTGATGGCTGGCTCCCACGGACTGTCAGAACAAAATATATATAAAAATATATCACATGAACTGTAGCGTCGTCGATAATACCTACCTTACTGAAACTGAACTCTTCGGGCAATGGCAATTGTCTATTCTAAATTCAAAAAGTGCCCCTTCCGTTAAACTCAGTTTTGAATTGACCGAGTAAGATGGGATTTGATTTGGATTAGAGTTGCAAAGTTTTCCCGATGGGCTGCTACCGGCACCGCCCCGCCCCACAAACATTTTCTGGGATACCGGCTTGCTACCACGCCCCAAGCAAAAAACCGCCAAATTACCGGCATACTAAAGAACCTGCATTCCTGATTCTGGCTTACCCCTACATGAGATGCCACATTTTGGCAATTTCAGTAACCGCCCCACCCAGCAGCCACCCATTGTCCAACTTATTACAATTCAATAGCCTCTTAGTGTCCAAAGTTTGAATCATATGCTGGTGTTTTTTTGTGCAAAATCAAAAATACCGGCATGGTACCGGTAAGACATGCCAGATACCACGAAAAAACCTGCGGTAGTGAAAAATTACCGGCATGCCGGTAGTGCGGTAGGGAAATTTTGCAACTCTAATTTGGATGTTAGTCTTGCATTGCCTGCTGAACCCATTGCGAACACCACTTATTTTATGTTTATTTTGCTATCCTTGATGTTGGTTCATTCTCACGTTGTTATCCGCTAATCGCAGAAACCTATTAATTACGGAGCGAGCGAAGCGAGCGGAGTCTCATACTGAATTAAGGGAAAATCCTGAGTATGAGCGGCCGGCCGGCCGGCCGGCCGGCCGGCCGGCCGTGGGGACGCTCTTCAAAAGCTAATATCTTGGGAACGGGACATCCGATTGACAAGCGGTCTTCTTTACTGAATGTCACTTGGACGTAAAAGTTCTGTGGTGTGATGGCCACCATGCGTTCTTGCCAACCACCGCACGTGGCGCGTGGTAAAGTTGGACATTTTTTAAGAACCCCCAAAATTGCAACCTCAATAACGGCACAACGGTTGGGCCGATTGAATTGAAACTCGGTACACAGTTAGGTCTCCATCAGATAATTCATCTGCATGTGTTAAGGTTGGGGTGCTACAGCACGTGCGCACGTGCAGGGGGCGCTCCCAGATCTCGAGAACGGCTGGGCCGATTGCGCTCAAATTTGGTACGCGGTTGGGGACCAGTTAGTAGGGTGCCGTGCAAAAGTCAGTTTGGACCCCGCTTGCACGTGCGCACGTGCAGTGTGCCGCTTCCAGATCTCGAGAACGGCTAGGCCGATTGCGCTGAAATTTGGCACATCGCTAAAGACCGGTTAGTAGGGTGCAGTGCACAAGTCAGTTGGAGGTACCCCCTCGCAATTTCGCACGTGCAAGGCCCATCCTATCGCTCGCTCCGTTGGTCGCCCAAAAGGCGTTTTACTGGTGCTTCATTAACGCTATAAACTAACGCTCTCGGTTTCGATTGGACCCGTGGCTTCAAACAATCACGAGTAACTGCTTGCGAGAAATGTTGCAGGTGTGCAACTGATAACATCTCACGCACTGATCTTTGTGGGTAAATGTTGTGTGGTATGCCGGTCAATGTGTTTGCAATTACCACGCTGTGTATGTTTTATAGGTGTGGGGAGAATGATTTCAGCATTACCGATGGTCTAAGGGTCATTTTGGAAGCATTGTGGACATTGAAAGTAATTATGTGGCTCGAGTGTATCGGGTTCCCTGAATGCTCCTTTTTGTGTGAGGGCCGGACGCTCCGAGTGTGATACTGAGTCTGTGATCTGAGTGTTCCGGCGCGCTGTTGCAGTGCGTCTCTGGAGGAGAGCAGCCGTCAGATGTTTGTGTGAGTGTGGTCGGAATCACTGAGGTAGTGTGAGTTGAGTTATATGGCGCTGTTGCAGTGCGTCTCTGGAGGAGAGCAGCCGTCAGGTGTTTGTGTTTGTGCGCTTAGTGTATGTGTACCTGTGATCTGAGTGTTCCGGCGCTGTTGCAGTGCGTCTCTGGAGGAGAGGAGCCGCCAGGTGTTATTGTGGGTGTGCCGGACCCTCTGTATGTGAGTGTGGTCGGATTCACTGAATGTGTGTGAGTTGAGTTCTATGGCGCTGTTGCAGTGCGTCTCTGGAGGAGAGCAGCCGCCATGTGTTATTGTAGGTGTGCCGGACCCTCTGTATGTGAGTGTGGTCGGATTCACTGAATGTGTGTGAGTTGAGTTATATGGCGCTGTTGCAGTGCGTCTCTGGAGGAGAGCAGCCGCCAGGTGTTTGTGTTTGTGCGCTGAGTGTAATTGTACCTGTGATCTGAGTTATATGGCGCTGTTGCAGTGCGTCTCTGGAGGAGAGCAGCCGCCAGGTGGTGCGCAGCGTCACCGAGGACTGTGAGCTGAGGCTGAGGGAGCAGGAGCAGGCGCACCAGCGGCAGGTCCAGCTGCTCATCGGTAACCGACCACCGGCCGGCCGTCTCACTCTGCTCGTGCCCGTCCTCTCCGCCCGGATGTCTGTACACGTCTGTCCGTCACATCCTGCCCGTCGCCGCCTGTTAACCGACTCTCAGTCCCTCTTCCATCCCTCCGCATCCTCCCAGTCCATCCATCCACCTTTTCATCCTCGTCTGTCCGTCTCTCCCTCTCTATTTTCCATCAAGCTTCCACCGCCTGTTGACGGCGCCAGCTCAGTGAACCGCTTCATTGGCGGCGCGACCCCTTACATACCCGTGTCGCCGTAAGCTACTACTATTCAGTACTCAGCGTCTGTGTATGCATTGGGCAAATCCGGGTCCATTTGTGCTCAGTAATTGACCTCTGACTGTTTCGCAAAGCAAGCGTAAGCTATTCGAGATCTAGGCGAAAGTCAATGAGAATCTAGGGTTGTCGCGCTGTTGCTAAGTGTGAAGTCAATTAGGAGTGCTAGGTCACGATCAATAAGGCGGCATAGAAGTGCCGAAAGAGCAGACGACGAAAGGCTTGCGATTGACCAGTTGATATGTTTCGTGCTATTTCTGTCCCTGCTATCGCATGTTCCTTGTTGTGCTCTCAATTTGGTGTATCAAGCAGCTGCGGTCCTCCTCTCGCTCCGCCCTATATTCCACTTTCTCTGTTACGTAAGTGACCCGGCCGCTGCGCCCGCAGGTAAGGCCGAGGACCACGAGGGCCACCTGACCCAGCAGCACCGTGAGAGGGTGCGCTCGCTCTACCGGGAGATCGACGAGAAGGTGGAGGCTATTGACCTGACCCGAACACAGCTCAAGGTCAGTGACCCCTCCCCGCTGACGCGTGAACGGTGCGGAAAGCAGTTGATGGTGAGACGTCCAAACTGTCAACGATAACCCGTGGATGGGATACCTAAACATAATAGTTAAGTTGAGATGGTTCAGCCATCAAATTGAGATGAGCTGAGTGGAGATTATAACCCAAGTCGTCAAATGGTCCGATAGCATCGGAAATGATATGGCGATTTCCGTTATGTTCGTTTTTAATGCTCACATTTGGTAAAAAGTAGATGCGGGAACGTAAAAGGGTACTTGATAGCTCATCTATCCGATTGGTCGGACGTCAGGAGCGGGAGGACCAGCTGCACGCGCTGCGGGACGACTATCAGCAGCAGCTGGAGCAGCTGCGCGCCCAGTTCTCCAGCCAGCTGGATGAGACGGTGGAGCGGGCGGCGCGGGACAGCCGGCAGGAGCTGGACCAGCTGCAGCACCAGCTCGAGACCGAGAGACGGGTGAGGAAAAGACGACGGAACGGAATGGACGGCGGGGTGCTGTGTGGCGTGATATCCGCACTGATCTACAGTGGTAGAGCCCGTCGGGCTGAACTTCTGACCGGCATCTTAATCGGGCCTAGGTGCCACGCAGATGAGTGCGATCCTTTTGCCGTGATGTCCATACTTAACCCAGTGTGACAGAAACAGCCCTTCTTCCCTGTGTGCCGTGATTCATCGTAGTTGAGCCAGCAGCTGCACGAGATGAGACTCGGCCACACTAACTAAAAACGCCCCCGCACCGATGGAATGGCATGCCCCAGTTGTCTTTGTCGTCCCTAGTGCCTTTGCCGTTACGCTCGCTAGTTAATTTGTGCTCATTACTAACTACAGTTTGTCTGTGTTGTAGCTGTCTGGAGATGCGGCTTCCAACGATGAGGTATGTTCTTATCGGAATTGGAGACTGGTGTTTGTGCTGATGTTCGCCCTTTCTTGCTTCCTTGATTAGCACAAAATGTGAATTGCAAGTATTGCTCAAGTACTGAGTGATTCCGATTGCATTGACTTAAGTCGCATTTTCCAGTTGACTACAAATAAAATCATAGAATCTGAATGAACCAGGCTTTAGGGGAGATGTCAGAGCATCTCATGGCATCTGCCGACTGGTAAGCCCACCACTTCACGTCATTAGCTGACTGACAGCACCTTCATTCCCGCCGTCATTTGACTGACCGCCTGTGTGCCCTCGTTGACAGCGGCTGGACGAGGCCAGTCGGATGGCGGCCGCCGCCGTCGAAACCGGCACCACCAGCCTGGAGACGATCCGCAAACAGGTGCTGGCCCAGCACAGGCAGATCGAACTGATGCGCAAAAAACACAAGTGAGTAGCATCTCTGCCAGACCTGGCCTGGTAACGGTGAGACGACTCGTCTTCTTTCATGTAGTGTGTATTTATAACGCGTTGCTTGTGCTAACGATTGTTGCAGGCGCCTACTCAAATATCAGAGCGTGTCAGATGTGACCAGGTGAACACCAATTACTACCTCGATGTCAGATTCAGTCAGCTGTGGACGTTCCATTGTTCCCTGGGATATTATTTATTGTAGTCGTTACAGATCACTGCATTGCATCTAATGCTTGTCGACCATCCTAGCTCATATGCCAGCCAACCTGCTTACTAACCTGAGCGCTGATTTAGCATTCATCGTATAACCGCCTGTTTGTGTGATCCGTAGACGGGAGGTGGCCGAGCTGCGCCGGTTACTGGAGCTGCAGCACCTGTCCGTACCGGCGGCGGCGGCGGCGGACGGCGAGCAGGCCGGCCTCGACCCCCACACGGAGATGGAGTACCTGAGAAACATACTGTTCGAGTACATGATGGGAAAGGAGCCGCTGGTGAGTTATTTCGGGGTCGAACCAAGGCCGTATGGTCGAACAGTGGGCAGGGGTATTCTTGTTACGGTCTGTCCAGCTGTTGCTGTGGCGTAACTTTGCTTAGGTAGGCACTGTCTGGCCAGTTCAGGTGGAATGCGTTGGCGCGGATCCAGTTCGGTGAAACGCTGAAGTTCCGTGGACTGGTCTGAGATCTGCCGGTCTGGACGGGAATCCCGGACTGGGATCCGGTGGTTGAGTCGCCCTACAAGGAGGGCGCGTCTAGGCCGGGTCCCCTCCCACAGACACGGTTCTGACACACTCCTTCCCTCCTCTCCGTCAGACTCTGGCCAAGGTGATATCTGCGGTGCTCAAATTCAGCTCTGACCAGACGGCCAAGGTGCTGGAAAAGGAGCAGCATCGACAGGCGGCGGTGAGTGACGCCAACTCAGCGGTCGGCGTTGCGGGAAACGGGGATTTAGGTGGTACGAAATCCACTTAAACATCGGTAGGGCTGCGGTTGTTGGCAAGATGTTAAGGCTTAGGACACGTTTTGATTACAGGGGCTGGGCTAATTATGTTGAGCGGCTGGGTATCGCAAATCTGTTCCTTTTTGCTTGCACTAGGAACGACTCAAGGAATGGCTTTGGGGCAGTGGAATGTTTTTTGCTGTTTTTATTTATGTTAGTAACGACAACCACGTCTTTTCTCAATTAATCATTTGTTACATAGAAGGGCGCGCATGTGACCGCACTCACGCACGGAAAAGCATACGCGCACGAATGCGCACAGGCGCTCACAGTCATGCAAAGGCAACACCGCTACGCACCACAGTAGATAGCGGCCACAACAGTCGCAGCGCTAACGAACGCAGACCTATAACGAACGAACGCAGCACTAACCTGTGACGGCGGTGTGCCGCGTTGTCGCGTCCCCAGTCGTGGAGGAGGCACGCTGCACCTTGATCAGTCAGTGCGGAACACCCGGCGACTAACCCGGTAACCAGGGCGCGTGTGTCTTTGGGTGTGTTGTCATGGGATGCTTATCGGTGATGGGATATGCTTCTGTGTGACACGTACCGTCCGATTTCCGCTTTCGGCGTAATTTGGCGTCGCGCTTCGCTATCCGGGCTGGAAGTGTCGTTGAGGCGGCTTCGAGCTTCCGCTTGAATGGTGTGTGCTGAAGTTTGTGTCGTGGGTCGAAGTCCGTATGGTGGCGGTTTTCATTGATGCTGCTCAATGTGTTTATCTTGGAGCTTTTGCGTTGATACGGGCTCATGTGTGTGTGTTTTGGGATTCGATTGTGTTGGTGGCGGGAATCGTGTGTCGAGCTCGTTTGATGGCGAGGATTTCAGTGATCTTTTCAGTCTGTGTTTGATCACTAATGGTAGTATTGGTGACGGGTATATCCTGTGGCCTGTCGTTCCCGTGGGAGTGGCTCCACCGGACTGAGAGCTGTCGTACTGACCGCTATGACCTGCCGCCCGGGTCTGTCTGAGCGCTGTAACCTGCCGTCCATCTCAATCGCACTGAGCGCTGTGGCCTGTCCGACTGAGGGCTATGACCTGCCGCTCCCCAGCAGCAGCAGCAGCAGCAGCAGCAGCAGCAGCAGCAGCAGCAGCAGCAGCAGCAGTCGGAGGCCGCAGCAGCAGCGGCAGCCTCCTCCCCCGGGCAGCCGGTCACATGACCGCTAGTCAGGAATTGAGCGACGCGCGGGCCAGGTGCCGTGGGCACGGTGTGAACCTCGTCCGAGTAGTCCCAATTCCACTCACCGTTAACCCCGCTGTAGTTTCTGAACCTCCCCAGCCTGGTTCACCGCGGCGGTCATAATACAAAGGACAGCTCTGATGTCGCTGTGCCGTGTTGTTTTGTCGGCGCCTAGTACCCACTAACAGCTGGAAGTCATCGGGTCCAGGCCAGGCCCGCTAACCTCTTATCGGGTCATTTCGCTTATGACCACTGCAGCTGCTGACTAGCGGTTCATTTGTAGATGTCTACATATCACTTGCTGTTTGCGAACGTTGACTAATATTTGGTGACAGTTGACTAACAGTTGACGATAGTTGGCGATGATTGTCTGGTTTTCGTTCGCCCGGTCCTCTGCCTATGGCTGCAGCGCAGCTGGAGCGTGTCCTGTGTGTCTAACATTCTGAATACTAGTGTTTCACTAACGATTTTTCTGAAATATGGGCAATGGTCATTCTTATGTGTAAGATGAAGGTACTGATCCTACAGCTCTTGGTAGATCCCTACGTTGTTTGACACGGTCGTGCACTTTTCCCCTACCTGTCCCTCATGACTCCATTCAGTGTCTGACGCTCTGGTATGTCATTGTGTCCTATGTGTCTCGTTCTGTGCCTGTGCTGTCCAGTATCCAGTGTGTGACGGACGGTGTGTTGCAGCTGTCGCCCGTCCGGCCGACGGTGGGCTCCACGCTGGACTCTGTGGGATCCACGCTCTCCGCCTTTTCTCCGTTCAAATGGAGATAGCCGACCGATCGACCACTGCCCAGCCGACCCAGTCGGTTGGCCCGACCAGCCGCGGCCTGTGGCCGGCAATAGACTCGCGTTCTGGGCGGCAACGCAATAGAGTGGCCGACAGCCGCACCAGACGGCCGGCCGGCCCAGCCGGGACCGGTGGCAGAGAGGGCCGGCGCGGCGGCAGACTGCCTCCCTGTCCGCCGCGCGGTGTCCTGCAGTGCTGGCGGCCGGTCTGCCTCCCTGACCCGCTGTCACGGAGGAGTTCTGCCCGCACGGTGTGACTGGCTCGTGTGCGCGGCCGGTGCCGCTGTGATGTCCCGCTGTCCTGTCCTGTTGACGATTCTAGTCTGTGGCTGACTCGGGCGGCCGGCAGTCTGAGGAGCGCTCTCCCGCTGCCGGCCCGCCCGGTCCGTGTGTCGGAGAGACGGCAGAGGTGGTCCTGTCCGTGCTACTGCAGTGCTTTATGGGGTGTGATCTAGTCCATCACGGTGTGTGCTATGACGAATAAATATATATACACAGCTTTAGACAGCTCTGTGAGGTGTACGGAACGGCCCGGATGGTTGTATTGTAATTGTAACCCACCTTCGTTGGCCGGCCAGGGTGATGGATCTGTGCTGCTGTTTTACGATCGGCCACTGCCAGGGCGCTAGACAACAATCAACTAAAGAGGACCGCCTGAGGGTCATAGAAGGTGTCTCTGGCTTACATTTTGTTTTATAATATCTGACCAAACCCATCGCACGGCAGTTTATTCGCTGTGGGTGATGCGTTCCATTCTGGGAAGGGAAAAAACTGAATTATCGATGGCGATTGCAAAATATGTCTGTTATTCCTCATTAATCATAATGATATCATCGGCAATACGATTGGGTTTCCGAAGGCAAATACTACGCATTACAAACTCCTGGAACTGCAGTATCCAGTGGCCGTATTTTTAGGTCGCCGTCAGCCTTCAGTACAAGCAGACACCCTCCCCCTCCCCCGACCCTCCCAACCATACCGGACATTGCGCAAGGCCGGTCAGTGTTTTGGCCGGTCGGCGGATGGCGGTGGTCCAATTGTTGGGCAAAATGGCTCATAGGCCAAGGGTGATGAACGGGAGCGTGATGCTTATTCCGAAGGAAAATACTACGCATTACAAACTCCTGGAACTGCAGTATCCAGTCTTTGGGATGCATTAAGCTCATGCCTCATTTAGTTTGGATTCTATCTAACAAAGGGGTATTGCATATCATAATTTTATCCACCAACCCTGAGAAACACAATCGTTTCTGACGAAGGCCGTTACCATATGTAGGTAGTGTGGGGCGCAATCGGCGAGCCTGCATCTGGTAGAGAACGGCAAAACCCAGTCCTGGCCATATGGGGCATATGGGGCATATAGCGCTGGCCAAATACCGCCTGCCGCCAATACACACTGATACAGCGTCAGATCGCCACACATTGAGCGGTGCGGACAGACGGTACACATGGCCGTATGTTCGACCGAATGGCCACTCTTAGGCTATAGTTGCGCTGGTTTGGGCCCATAACAGGCCGGCTATTGGAATCCGCACAGACCAACTGTCGAACTCAGGGTGAGATGCATAAGATAAATGCCGAAAGAGATTCGAAATAATTAACTCCTCTGGCCGAAGACGCCGCTATCGATGCGGGGCTTTCGTCGACGCCAAACCGTCAACATTGCAACCGTTTCAGACACTGCCCAGTGCCCGCATTCCTTGCAGCCGGCATGTGCCTGCTTTAGCGTCCGTTGCACAACAGCTCGACGCTGCCAGAGCTCCGACAGGGCCCAGCAGCCGCCCGCCGGTATCAATTGAGCGGCGAGCTGGCGGAGTCAGTCCAGGACTGCCAGGTGGAATCTGGCCTCCGATCAGAGCCAGGAGAGGGGTTGGACAGCTGGTCTGTTCGGGACTGGGAAAGGGCGAGATGACTGGCCTGTAAGAACTAGATGTTTGGGACGGGAGAAGTCTGTTCCTGGCTGCGAAGCAGCATCGTAATTTGTGCGGGACAGTGAGGGGGCACTACAGGCTGGCCCGTTCGGAGCTGTGTGAAAGGGCCAAGGGAGGTAACTAGTTCGTAAAAGGGTGCGGCGGAGAACGACTTAAATTTCTAGAACAGCGACAGGACCTGGGGCGGCTGGTGCTATCAAAGCTGCGGTGGAGAACGGCTGTCTGTCCGGAACTGATGGATGACCGGGGGCCGGGGGATGGCCTGCAGGGATGGCCGAGCTCCGAGGAAGGACGGCTGCTTTTGTCCCGTGCTGCTTGGAGACTGGTCTAAGAGCTGCGAATTAGGGCCTGAAGTTTCTAAGGATTAGGACGTTTGCTCTCTCTCTAGAACTGCGAATAACTAGGTAAAAAAAAAAAACTGTTGGGACAGTGGATTGATACGCATGGTCTTTCCAGAGCTGCACACGAGGACGGGGTTGTCTGCTCAGTGGAAACGCTCTATGTGCTCGAGCCGCGCCCAGCTGACGGGCTCTCCACCGGGGTAGCCGGGACGGTGGGGCGGGGAGGGAGGGGGGGGGGGGCGGCCGCGCCACCGACACCGCGCACTCAGCGATCGATGGCGCTCCAGAGCCATGAGACCGGGCATTCTACAGCCTGGTACTGCGGCAAACGGCCGCCCGCCAGCCGCTCATCGTGATAAACGGCCGTCCCAAACCCATAAAACCGCGCTCTGTACTAGGTAGGAAATGTTTTTGAAATAAATTTTGTAACTGAACGTATTTAGACACCTAGGTATGCATTAAAACCAGCAGAGTAACCTATTCGTTTACGGTATTGTTTTCATAGAAGGGACATTGTGGAAAACTTTCTTATAATAAGTCTTATAATAAGGTCTTATGTCTTATATAATAGTGTCTTAAAATATAGGTAAATTAAATCTTGTAATAAGGGTTCAAGTATGTAAAAAGCATGTAGTATTGGCACATTTTATGAGCGAATTAAAATCAACTTCCAATTGCAGTTTGTCAATGAAAATAAATGGAAGTAGGTACCTACCTGATCTGAATTCTGATGGACTTCTATTTTGCTTCTATTTATTATTCTTCGAATTTCGTCTGTTGACGTATTTATCAGAGCTCCGTCGGAGGTCGGCTATCCACCAGTGGCGCAGTGAAACGTCGGTTGATAAATTTAAATCCGGATATTGCTCTTGGCCAGATTGGCGAATTATGCCATCGGATATAATTTCGATCGACTACCTGCCGACGCCTTTCCAGCGCCAATTTGACTCGAACGCCCGTTCCAATGCAACGGATTCAGAACGCTTTATACTGCTGACTGCAAAGTAACTGGCAGATGAACTTAATAACCAGTCAATTCACGCTTTGTCAAATAACAAATGCAGAGTGTTCTCCAGAAAACCCTCGATCCTAATGTGTGATCGATCATGGAGCTCTGGAAAGATTCCAATTCGAGACGAGAGTTTTGTAGTGCCGACCGATTGACAGCGCCTGAATTCACATGTCGGAAACTTTTCGACTACACTCGACGTCCAGTGGCTACTCGGAGGGACGAAACAAGCCCTCGACCAGCCCTCGGGTTCTGTCAGACTGGACACGATTGGCTTCAGTGATTCTTTCTGCATTTCGGCCATGTCAGCCTAGATGTGAGCCTGTTCGTAACAACCGTCACTGCCAGAGCTCGAGTGGCTATATTCGTATGGCAGGGCCTTGGTACCCTGTCTATTCCCTGTCTTGATACCCTGTCTTGCTCTATCCCCTGGCGCGACGATAACTATATAATGTATTTGTCAGAAACACTCCTTTACCACCTTGCTCCTTCACTCCTCGATATAGGTACCTACAGATCGCTAAAACACCGCCTATCGAGGCCCTCCGGTAAAGTACAACTTAACTTTGCTGTTGGGGGAAGACTAGTTAAGTAAAAATTGTCCATCACGTATAACCTCACTTGACAGATAACACCCTTCGGGACTCGTGGCTCGATCTATGTGTACCAATACCAATATACCAATAGCCTTTTCCGAGCATTCAGCTGACCGATTTCCCCGTGCGGGACTGAGTCGACCGATATGCCCCCCCCCCCCGCCTCCCCCATGGGTCGAAGCGGGCCCGACTTTTCGGCGCTCGGCTGATGGAGCCTCTGGTATTACTGGTATGATGACCTCTTCAAGTCTGCTGCGGCTCAACCACCGAATCGTTCAACTTACAGCCAAAGCCGATCGCTCGATTATAACTTTGTCGCTTTCCGGCGGAAGCGTGGCACTGCGAGCGGGCCGTGGCCGCCGAGTTCTGATGGCAGATGTTCTGATCTGGACATTTCAACGAATCGCAGGCTCGCCCGAACTTTCCGAGTTTGGGGCCCGGCGTATCTCCCGTTTATGGGGCAGCAGCCAGCGGGGATGGTCGGAGGCTCCACTCGGCGCACATTTGCACTGTTTTTAATTATCTTACTTATGGTTTTAACGTTCGGAATAGGTACGCTATTTTGTTTTATTATCACGATAAATTATAAATGCCCAATAGCTTAGCTTATTCGCTTTAAATCAAAGCAATGCAAAAAGCAAAACGTGCCACGATTTTTAAGGACCATTCCCGTAATTTTGTAGTCTGCAGTTATTATATGCTGAGATGAGCCGTCGACGCTTACGTGCACGTTTATTATTTTTAACGATGATCGTGGCTCGGGGGCTTTGAACGTTGCGGACAATAAAGCTTCGAAGTTTGTAACAATATGAAGTTTATAGTTTTCCGATCTAACTGTTTATGTCTCCTGTCAGCCCGCAATGTCCATTGGACCACTGGCAGGCCGCCTGGGGCCACGCTTGCTCTATCGGTCACCGACAGATCTCGATAGAGAGTCACGCCGGAGGGTAGAGCCGACTCCAAGCCGTGCATCACATTACGGGCGGCTAATTCCCGCCGGTTCGCTCAGCCGAGAGCAAAGCCAGAGGCCTGTCTATTGGCCGCGTAATGAAGCCAGGGGGCACCTCCCAGACGCGGCAGCGCCGTCCCCCGTCACCGACCCCTCCCCCCCCCCCCCCCGACACAGACCCCCCCCCCACTCAGACACCGACCGGAGGGGGGCGTGCCCCCGGCGCCACCCGAGCCGCAATCGGAACCACTCGACCGTCGGCCAACAGCGCGCTGTCACAGATAACCTGAGCTCTCATACAACATAAGCCAGAATGATTTCGGTGGCGCTGCTTCTGGTGGTTGCAGCACGTGCATCTAACGTGAGCTCATGGTCATTTCAGATGGGTGGTACATACATATCCTTCAGTCGTCTTGGAAATATGTTGACCTGCGGGATGAAAGCGCTAACTTTAAACATATCGTTAATTTAAATGGACAAACCTTATATACTGAGCAGCGTTACTATCGGGCTTGGTATTATGAACTTTTTGCGCGAGCGAACGCCTTTTGACTTTTACCCTTCGATCATCTAATGCAAGATCTAATGAATAATGAGTCCGTCTTTTTACGATCAACGAATAAAACTCTTAAAACAGCTTTTTATAATTCCATTTATATTTATATTATTATTCTTAT